TGGCCTCCTCCAAGCCGTATGCCGTTTTTGGGTTCATATCGAGGACATATCGGACATATCGGGCGCAATTTCGTCTGAAAAAAGCGCCCGGTATGTGTGACTTTGGATCAGAATAGAGCCGTCATCGGGTTTTGAGTTGCATCAGAACCCGACCAGACCCAAACACAAGTATATCTCATCTAGGGCTTTTTTGGTTCCAAATCAAATTGATTAACTTCATCTTTGATTTCCATCCCTGCGACTCCGCTCTCTCTTCTTCTTTAACTTCCATCTCTATGACCCAAACACAAAGGTTCCTTGGCTTCGGTTGGTGGAAACTAAAAACTAGGATTATCAGGGGCTTCGACAATGGTTCGACGACGTTAGATACTCCCTCTCTTTCTATTTCCCTGTCTCTTACAGTCTCTCCCTTTCCCTCCCTCCCTCCCTCTCTCTCTCTCTCTCACTCTCAGTTTCTCTCCCTCTTTCTCCCCCGTCTCACTGTCTCTTCCCCTCTCAGTTTTATTTTTTTTTCCGTGTTTTGCTGTAGCTTTGATGATACTATTAGTTACTAAGATAGAGTCCTAATTTATAAATAAGAAGACCAATCACGTAATTTTGATTAGCCATCAATCTCATCAAAGAATAAAGGCTTTAATTCCACTATGATTTATAATTCATCACTAGATCTTAGATTGTGTTGAAGAAATCTAGAGTTTGTAACCTCATGTGCAATTGTATTGGTTGTTTTGTTTGGATTTGTTGGTTGAATATTGCTTATTGATATATTTTAGTTTACTTATCTAATTATATGTACACACACCATCAGATATGGCAATCTGATATTTACTATATATCCCCCGACATATCGCCGATTTCCTCTATTTGACATGGAGTTAAACCTTGTTCCTTACCAATGAAGCTATAGACAATATGAGGGCTTAATATAGTTATAGACTTATAGTAGGCCATTTGGTCGGAGGAAAAAAATTAGCTTATTGTCATGAAGTTGAAGTCTAAGCTGAAACAAGGAACAACTGGCTTAGATTCTCATGGACTTGATAACACCTAAAACGGTAGGATATATGAGTATATGACAAGAATAACCATTAGGATTGAATTATCTCTAGAAGTGATATAAGCCAAGGCGTCATTTCTCTTCCCAATGAAAGGTAGAGTGGTCGAGTTGTCTACAATTGTTTGCCTAAATTACACTTATTAAAGAAGCATCTTCTATTGCTTAATAGCTGAATGGTTTATCCCTAGATTAATTTACATTTGGGGTTTTTTTTTGGGGGTGGAGGGGTGGGGTGGGGGGACCACAGGGAGCCTATTAGTTTATTGAGCATTGTTGGTCTGTTTCCTATTTTTGTTTGTTTTTTCAAGTTTAATATTTCCTTTTTCTTTTTTTGGTTAAGGTAAGCTTTTTAATACGGTGTAAATATGAGGAATAATAAAGAAAAAAAGCCTAAGTACAGCAAAAGACATTTCTTTTTCTTTTTCTTTTTCTTTAATGGATCAAATTTTCTCTTGTATCCTTGTGGAAATATTTTAGATTATGTGCATACATGTGGCCATATGCAGAGTTTTGCTGTCTTACAATTACAAACCATACTTTCCAGTCCTTACTGATAAAAATTACTCTTGCTTGCAGGCAGCTGCTAAGGATGAATTTTTCAGGAAGCTTAGCGCCTGAGCTTGGTCGTCTTTCTTACATGAAAATTTTGTAAGTTCATATAGAGTCGTTTAATCAACAAACCTAAAATTTAAATTTGTGCCCAAGTTTTGGTGCTTTGCTTCTTTTTCTTTTTGATGAATTTAGTAATTTCTGTCCTTACTGTATACATCTCCAGATGATATTAATGGAATTTTTATTGAATCTTCTTTTGAAGGGATGTCATGTGGAATGGGATTACTGGCTCTATTCCCAAGGAGATAGGCAATATTACATCTCTCAAGCTCTTGTAAGTTGAAAGTATCATCTGTCAAATAATAGATCTTAAAAGGCGGTTGATGTTCTGTGATATTTCTTACCTTCACCTATATTCTCCAGCATGTTTGTTCATTCTCCTGTCATTTGACTTTGACTCCGTTGTACCTTGTTTAAGTGATTATCTAAGCATAAGAAGGAAGTCATTGGTGCCTCTGCCTCTTGGCTTAGAGTATACCAGGAATATTCATAACATGTCAGCATATTTCTCAATGTGGGAAAATAATAACTTGTATCAACGAAATAATGCCTATCCTATTAGAATTTCTCCTTTCATGTATGCATAAAGAATTTGTATTGATTAGATATCTTTTATTATTCTTCTTAGTTCCAGTCTTATCTGTGAGAATTTCTATATAAATTTGATTAGATATCAAGGAGCCAGAATCATGGTTATTGTTGGATTCCAATATAAATTTGCACAAGTTAAACCTGTCTTGTGCCACAGGAAAATCAATATCAGGGAAAGACCAATATCGTAGCATACTTTGCTGAAATATAAAGCACCTCCTTCCAAGAAAACTTCAATAACATTATGCAATATCAGCTGTAAAGTAAGAACTGGTTTTTATATGAGATGAAAATATCTCCCACTAAAAACAACTTGATCTGACAATTTTTTTTTATAACATGTATCCGATGTTATCACCATCAGTCCACATTTACTTTAATACTTATCTCTGCATCAGCGGGAATGCAAATTAATATACACGATCAACTGCATAAAGAAAACCTAATTGAAATTGATTGTAGTCAAATATATGCATAGTCTAAATTATCATTAAGCTGTTGTCTTTTTTGGTTGTAGTACTAGGAAGGAGTCTGATATTGATGTGCCCTGTCACCGAATGAATTATAATGGCAGTATTGGAATTTTGTCAACTTGAAACATAAGTGGGCTGGGATTTCAGGTCATATTCTAAAATTTCTAATATTCCTTTCATGTTTGGAAAGCTAATGCTTAATTTACTTGGGCCAACTCGTAATGTGTTGGGGAGAAATAGTCGAGGTTTCGAAAGCTTATTATAAAGGCTCTAGGTTCTCACTTGTTGAGAAAATTTTAAACTTTAAATTTCATTCTGATCAAATCATGGTTTCAGTTGTGTAGGGTCACTGCAGAAAGTTCTATAGATAATCATTTTTAGTATTCTTTCGTTAATTTTGTTACCTTCTTTTTTTTTCTGATTCCAAGTTCTTCTCTAACTTTTTTCATCGCCACACTTTTTGTTGCCATATTTCATCCAACAATCCTGAAAAAAATGAGCAAATTTCTGTAAGTTTCCTCCTTAAAAGAATCTATTGTGCTTCCCATCTGATACTGTTGGTTTCATATCTTTTAGTTGTTCTCACTCAGATATTTTAGTCCAGTTTTTCTTTGTGGCACTGTACGCTCACCTATGAAACACGGAAACATGGTAGTTGAAACTCAAACTTGGTTTGTCGCTGTGGGTTTGGTAAATATTTCCTCAAGTCAGCGTACCTTTCATGATAATGCAAACCATATCTGACTTCAGACGTGTAAAAAGGATTAATTGTTGCATTTTCATGGGCATTCTATTCTTCTTGCACCTGAGTCCGTGGCTGAGGCCACTAACTGAACCTCCTTTCTTCTGAAAACTTCTGCTAAGAAAACAAATAAGAGAGAGAAAACCTCTTTTCATCTATAAAAAAATTCAGAGGAGATGATTTTCTGGAAAACTATTTGAGAAATTATTTTTGTGGTATGTACCATGCTTAGCATTTAGATTGTGCAGCTTATTTCAAATGCAAAGTGCTTGATTTTGCAGAGACTACCTTTCTAGCTAAGGGATGTATTTGCATGTTTTTATAACAAACATCATATATTCTAAATTTCCCTCTGAATAGTTAAGATTTTGATATTCAAGAATAGTTTGGAGCCATTTCCTTATGGAGGACATATGGTCCACAACAAGAAATGCAGCTCTGATATTGAAAGGGAGGCTATGACATATGATTTTTTTTCTAAGAATATGAAGTTATAACCCTAGCCCTCCCCATAACTTTGGAGTTTTGGTGTAGTGGAAGGGTGCTTTGACCAGCTACCAAAGAAACCCATGTTCAATTCCCACTAGCCATGAATCTAAAGTGGATTAAAAAAAAAAGTTACCACTGCATGAGTCCCCATATAAAGGGCACTCAATCTGTAGAGTCATGTTGGAATAAAGTTATAACCGTCAACCCTCACCACAACTTTGGAGTTTTTGTGCAGTGGAAGTGTCCTTTGACAGAAAAAATTTCACTGATGGTACAGTTTTCTAATGTAACGATTTCAATAACATCTTTTATCCTCTCTAACAATTTAGAAAACAATTAGTTATGCTTCAACATCAAAGAAACTCAAAGATAATTTTGTGACTGCGTTGCATATTCAAATCCCATATAAAGAGACTTCAAGTTCTAATGTGAAGCTGGCTTTCAGAGTTAGTTACTTATTTCCTTTCAGACCATGATGCATGTTGAATCTACTGGGTCTTCAATAAAATATTCAGTTACATGAATCTAAACATTAAATTTCATTCATGTAAGTTTTACAGTATCATCTGATAGATGAATTTCAATTAGACTTTCTTAGATCATCTTAAAGTAGATATTTTGCTCATGAATTACCTACTTACTCTTCAAAGACATCATTGACTTGTTTTTAACTATCCACTTTTATTGAGAATCAGTATGATATCTGTCTTTGCAGGCTTTTGAATGGTAACCAACTATCCGGTTCTTTACCTGAAGAGTTAGGAAACCTTTTTAACTTGGATAGAATACAAATTGACCAGAATCACATATCTGGGCCCATACCGAAGTCATTTGCGAACTTGAACAAAACAAAGCATTTGTAAGTTGGTACTCCTGTTTCTCATCTTGTGATTAGAAGGTGTTTTTTCTTATAGTTTTTCTTATGGTGGTCTTTTGTCCTTTTTTCCTTCAGCCACATGAATAACAACTCAATAAGTGGACAAATTCCACCCGAGCTGTCGAGTTTACCACGTCTTGTTCACTTGTAAGTTACATTCATCGTATATGCTACTTCACGCTCTATTGTAGTGCTTCTACTTGATTCTTGTCATTTGGTACTTCAAGTTCTGTGTTTATTTTAGTATTTTCTCTCTTTCTCTTACTAGTAAATTGGACAATTGCAGGTTACTGGACAACAACAACTTATCGGGATCTCTTCCTCCTGAACTTTACAAACTGCCAAAATTGCTTATTCTGTATGTATTGTCCAATTCTAATTAGGACTGACTATTATTTTGCTGTTTCATGTGAAAACTCCGTCAAAAATAAATCATAGGATTTTCTGCTGATGGTTAGTTTTATAATTAGGATGGTTGCTATTGCTTCTGTTTTTGCAAGTAATGTTGACATTTTCTACTGACGATTCAATTATAGATGATTACAGAATGCCATTGTAAATCAACTTTCAGTCGATTATGCAGATATAATGGGACCACATATTTGTTGATTAACTACTATTTGATGATAATAATAAGACAGCTTTTCTTCTGCACATATTTGAACAGTAGTTTTCTTCTTTTGATGTGGTATTCTTCATTTTCCTTTCTGGTGTGGCATACTCCTTTTGTTTATTTCTTTCTTTCCCTCCTTTTCGTTGTAGGGTTGGGGATCCGGTATTGGTCTAGAATGCCCTAACACATCTCTTTTTATCAGAATTTGGAGCCAAACTTCTTTTTTCCTGAGTATATTCTATTGACTTATGTCTTAAGTATATTTGTGGCTTATCAAAGACTATAGTTAAGAAGATCACACCTAGGAATGCTATTTGTTGTTGAAGTCGTATATGCGGACATTTATGATGAGAGCTGACATTTATGATGAGAGCTTTATGCCCATGTGTAAGAGTGTTCATGATTTATGTGAAACACACTTTCTTCTATGTTCTGCATATAATGGTGTCAGGGTTTACGATATGTGATGCATGTGAATAAAAGGGGAAAAAATTCCCATTGCATTATGAAATGCCCTTTCGTGTAATTTCTTTAACGCGGGTCTAATCAGATGTAAAACTACAACTCCTTTCCTTGAATTTTCTTGCTATTCATGATAAAATTCTTTCTAGAATATGCACGCTGTACAATAATTTTTTTGATTATGTCTCATATGTATACTGGGTTATCTCTGCATCTTGTGCCCCTTCTGGTTTAAGTAGTCTGACCAAGTCTTCTTAACTTGATGTATATTAGTTTTTTTGCTCTTTCTCCATGCACAGATTTACAAGCTTATTTTCATCTGGTTGATTTGTTTTCTCCCTTTCTTGTTGCAGTCAGCTTGATAATAATAACTTTAGTGGGAGTACAATTCCAGCTTCTTATGCCAATATGACCCAACTATTGAAACTGTAAGTACGTTTTAACTAATTGTTTTGTATGTCTATGTATTGTAAGTATGTTTTAACTAATTGTTTTGTATGTCTATGTTTATAAAGGATGCCCATATAGAACGTGCACAGGAACTTAGATTCTTGTAACTTAATCCTGTTTTCCTTGCTTATCAGGAAGTTTCCCGGTAGGGAGTAAAATTTGCGTGGAAATATCTATTTGATTTCACGTCATTTATTTTTCATTTCCCATTTCATATAACCTTTGCGCTTCTATTTCTCAATATATTATATCAATCCTACTCAAGGGATATTATAAGTAAAGATAATGTACATAGTTACTGTACTGGTGTTTTACACATGCAAACTAAATCGCGTGGTAAGTGCTGCAAATTGATGATCCACAATAATGCTATCTATCATTATCCATGTCTTCTGACTTCTGAAATGATGTAGATAGTTGTGGGTTCCCTTGTGTGTGAAATAAGGGATCACAATAATGCCATGAATTTTTATTTTATTAAATGATAATGCAGTTTGATTCAAATGTATAACTTTGCACGTCAAACTCTTAATTTCTGCCTTTATTTCTTTTCTTTTATCTTGTTGCTAAGTAACTCATGTCCTTCACTCTCTGGTTCAGTTTATGGAACCTATATGTGATGTCAGCATCTGAGTAGCTTTTCCATATTTGAATTCCATTTTTCAGTCTATCAGTCATCCATTTTTATTTTAATATCTATACACCATGTGTATTACCAAATACACATACTAGCAAATAATGGTTAATTTTCTTTTCTGCTCTTGCAGGAGTCTTAGAAATTGCAACCTACAAGGAGCTGTTCCTGACCTGAGTGGAATACCTAGACTTGGTTACTTGTAAGTGCCAGAAGTGATATACGAGTTGTTTCATGTGTAAAAAGAAGAAAATTGTTTTTGGTTTCAATTTATCATCAATTTTATTTCTTTTATTAATTAATTATTGTGATTATATCTTAAAATTGATATTCTGATGGTCCAGAGATCTTAGTGGGAACCGCTTGACAGGGCCCTTGCCAACTACTAGACTTTCCAATAATATCACTACCATGTAAGCATGAACTCTGAACTTATACATTCAGTTGATTGTCTTTTTTTTTCTGGCTCTTTCAAAGACTTTTTCATTAATTATTTATTCAACCTGTTTAATTTTAGTGATATATGAAAGATAACTAATGCCTATCCTACCTGTTTTCCGCAATGTCTGCAGTGACCTGTCAAACAACTTACTTAATGGATCTATTCCCTTGAGCTTTTCTGGACTTCCTAATCTCCAGAGATTGTGAGTGACATACTTAATGTTTCTTCTTCTTTTATTCATTTAAACAGTGTTGCCTTTTGTATTAGTAGCTAATGTTATAATACATATGTTAACCTTTAATGGATTAACTTAATTCGTAAAGATTCTTAGACGGGAATTTTATGCAGATGAATTTGGTTCTAAAGTTTACACCACAGAATAATCCAATGGATATTGCATGTTCTATTTGTAGGTCGCTTGACAACAACGATTTTACTGGCTCAGTTCCACCTTCTATATGGAGGAATATGATCTTCACTGGAAATAAAAGTCTCATCGTGTAAGATCTTCTTAGAAAAATGCATCATATAAATTGATTTTTATGATTTGTACTAAATTCTTTTCCAATTTTGCAGGGATTTCCAGAATAACTCTCTCACGAATATTTCAGATGCTCTTCAGCCTCCTGCAAATGTCACCATCTTGTATGCTTTTCTCTCACATTTATTCTAGTAGTCATTATGAAAAACATACTAGCTGTATTTTCTTTCCAACCATGATGTACCTTCTCAATGTCCTTGTTCAGATGTCATGGTATTTTGTTTGTATCCCATTAGACAACTTTGTCGATTTCTTCTTCCATATTCAACTACATTAAAATTTCTCGTGGTTGTCGCCCTTGATATATTTTCCCTCCCTTTGCCCCCCTTTGGTTATCACTTTCGATATAATATGACAGTTAAACATATCACCAAAAGTCAACTCCTTTTACATGATTTTACTTCTTTGCAGTAAACGTGTTTTTAGAATGTTTTTTCCTTTTCATATGACTATCTTCTTCAATTGGCTTTATAAACTCCTGTCTTCATGTCATGACCTATGAGAATGACGAGGTTGGTAACAGTTGAGGATTGATTTTATGCGGATGCTTCTTGGTTATTATTTGCTTGATTCTTATGAACAGATTTGAATGCTCTATCTTTTCTCCTTCAAATGGCTTCATATACTCCTGTATTCATGTAATGACCTTTGAGAATGATGAGGTCGGAAACAGTTAGGAATTGATTTACATATGGATGCTGGTTGGTTATTCTCTGCTTCATTCTCATGAGCAGATCTGATTGCTCGACTGATGGATAAAAGTTCAATAACTGCTGGATCTGAAATAAACTTCCTTTGAATTTCGATATATTGTTTGATTCGCACATGTATTGCATTCTCCTGACCTGTAATTTGGTTACTGCTTCAGCATTTTTGTTTTCCTTTTTATTTTGTTTTTTAACTTGGAGTGATCTTAATAGTTCTTATGAGTCTCACTTATGCCTGAAATTTTGCTCAGGTTGTATGGGAATCCTGTTTGTGAAAGAGCAAATCAACTCAACATAATCCAATTCTGTCTGTCTCAGATCGTAAATCCGGCATCTGGAATGTCAACAAATTCGAATTTTAGATGTCAGTCGTGTCCTACAGAACTCGACTACGAATATAATCCAAAATCTTCCATACCTTGCTTTTGTGCTGTTCCACTTGGAGTTGGATACCGGTTAAAAAGTCCAGGGCTTTCAGATTTTCTCCCATATGTTGATGATTTCGAGGAATATTTAACAAATGGTCTTGACATTGCGCTTTATCAGTTGGACATTGATTCATTTATTTGGGAGGAAGGTCCAAGACTTAAGATGAATTTGAAGTTATTTCCAGATAGGGCAAGTTTATTTAATGCAAGTGAAGTCCTACGGATCAGGAGCATGTTCACAGGATGGTTGATTCCTGACTCAGATCTTTTTGGACCGTATGAACTCATAAACTTCACTCTTGGATCTTATGCAAAAGGTATATCTACTAGAAAATATTTTCTGTAGAAAAAAAATGAACACATTGATTTAGGACTTAACCAAACTTGCTACTTTTGTAGGAACTAAATTGGACAAATTTTCAAAACAGTCCTCTTTGGACTTTTATTCTAAAAAGACTTATTTCGAACTTATTTTTAAAAATCGACCTGGTTTCAGCCCTAGCGCTAAAACCAGGTCGGTTATTGAAAATATTTTTCCGAAACTTCAACTCCCGTGAAGTTTTATTGGTTGAACAAACTTCACGGGAGTTCAACTCCCGTGAAGTTTGTTACTGTGCAAAAATTCCACGGGAGTTCAGTCAAATTTTCCAGAGAATCGCTCTCTGGAAAATTAAGCCCGTAACTCCACGGGAGTTGAACTCCCGTGGAGTTGCAGATTTTACAAAACATGCACAGCAGCCTGTGCATGTTCTGTATATACGTAACGTAACTCATATACGTTATATTTACCTGTTATCAATAATTGATCTCATATACACTGAATTACAACAATATATACATAATTCAACCATGAATTAAACATGAATCAAACAATACTCACAAAGAGTACATATATAAATAATAATTGATCTACAAAAGTATAGCATTTGAAATTCATAAAAGTTATAATTTTTAACAAAATAAGCTCACATACAACCCAAAACAACTCCTCTCCTTCCTCTCCCTCTCTTCCCCCTCCCCTTTGCTCTTACCTGCCCCCTGCGTTCTTGCTGATGAGCCTCGATTACTCAATTATCTGAGTATCCGGCTGTGTATGAGGTTGAGAAGCACCGGCTCCATCAGCATGCGAAGTGTCGGCTCCATCACCAGGCGAAGTACCAGCTTCATCATCACGTGACCGTCGTCGTCGCATGTACGCTTGCCCAAATGATCGAGACCTGTCCTCACGGCCTGCAAACTCGTCGACGTGAGTCTTAAACAATTTATTAAGTACCATCTCAATAAAAAATATTATAATTTAGCTTAGAAACTTACATAATCTCTCTCGATCATCCCACTAGGGATATAACTGTCTGTCGGTGGGCGTGACATGTGTCCAGCTGATGGTTGTGGGTCATGTGTGATCTATCTACGTGTGATATCCCAATACAAACACATATACGCGGTATAGTCAACAAATGTGTCTCTTGTATCATGTATGAAATCCCACCTGTGAGTCCACCTATCTATGTAAGCCGCATGGACTACGACCTAGTCGGTAAGGTGCGATGTAGGTCGTCGTCAACGATCGATTTGCTCGACAGGCTCTAGCACATGTTGAGAGAGCAGAAATTACCGTAGCACACAGTCGGGGACATGTATCTCCATAATCTCCCAACAGATCAATGAAACTCTGGCTCTCCACAAGTCGAGACTATCTCGACAGATAGATGCAAGAGTATGCATATCGAGCTCCGACGGTGAATAAGGTCTCCACTTGAACTGAAATAAGATAAAATATTTATCAGTATCAATAACAAAACTATAATATTCATAACGAATCGAGTTTTATATTTACCTGTTCGTGTTGGAGGCCATCAAGTTCATTTCGGTAAAACTCACGATGTCGCGTCGCTGATATGTCGCAGGCAATAACTATGTGCATATGGTGACGGGAAATATCGTTGAAGTGCTCATGGAATTCCTTTCATCCTATCAGATATGAATGTAATCGGTCGCGTCCCCACACTAGGGATGTGATATCTAATGCATGTAAAAAATCATGTTAAATTCTCTATGTTTTCAACATCAACCACTGCAAACGCTAAAGGATACAACCCGCCATCCGCGTCAACTCCGGTTGCAACAAGCAAAACGTTTTTGTACTTACCATATAAGTGAGTGTCATCAATGCTAAGAAGAGGGCGACAATATCGGAACCCCTCAATACAAGGCCTAAATGCCCAAAATACACCTGTGAACCGTCATTCTTCGCCATCAACAGGATCTGATGATACTTCAAAGACAGTCCCATCATTTTTTCTTTTGAGTGTTTCAAGATAATGTGGTAAGATCTCATAAGATTTGTTCCAATCCCCGAATATTTTTATCATTGTCTTCCTCCTAACATTCCAACACTTGTTGTATGATACATCTAACTTGGTCGCTTTATGCACTAAAAGATTAATATCTTTTGGCCTTAGATCAAGATCCTTTCTTAGATGCAGTAAAATCAATTGATATATAAAAGAAGAGGACACATGCTTGTTATTCATCTCTAATCGAGGATTGCTACATGTGTGGAGTCCGTTGTATGCCGTGATTTTAAAATGCCCGCCTACTCTTACTCCTGAGCATGAATTAAGCTTTCAAGAATATTTTGCATTGTCGTCGTGGTGTCCATCATTATCTTCGTCTTCGCCATCTTTGCGATAAAAACAAACCATATTATAGCTTGTTGTGTTATTTTTTATTGGTTTAAACTTGACATTTTTTGTTATGGCATACGAGCGAAGCGCATGGATCAATTTCTCCTTACTTTCAAAAAGATCCCCCTTCATGAATGAGAAGTCATCGTCCTATGTATCATCACCGCTATAGTGCCAATAGGAACACTTTCCATCATGGAGTTATCAATCTATTCTTCTCCTTGAAGTTCATCGGACGACGGATCCTCTAAGACGACATACTCATTATTAGTATAACATCTGTTAATGTGTTGGTTATCCCCTTCATCATGATCTATCAACGTCATGCTATTAATTTGTAAACCGTATTATTCATCATCATTCTCGGATTCGACACTTGCATTATCTTCTTGATGGACCGTGTTAGTATCAAAAGCATTTGAAGTGCCCACAAACGAAGGACCGTTCATGTATTGTGATTATGTCCAATTTTCATCTTGTTACGGAGATAAAAAGCCGATGAAGTCAACTTCAAGGTCCTCCAACATGCGGGAGTACATTCCGTCGTGATTCAACCACAGTTTTAAATATCGGCCGATAATTGATATTATCGGCCGAGTTATCGGATTTGGGAGCTCTCCGTTAGGATAAATTGGATTTTTATCGGTTATCGTTTTTGTAGGTTTATCGGCGATTTATCGGCGTTATCGGCACTTATCGGCCGATAAGTAAGACTTTTTTTATCGGGATTATCGGCCCATTTTGACTAACATTATATTTTTTTAAGGCTATGATGCAAGTTTCGCTTTCTACAATTTGTTAGTGATTCTAAACATGATGATTTATATTTTGGTATGTTTATATTTCATTAAGCATGATTAGATTATATTTTTTTATTGTTATATTATATATACACATCATCCAGTATATCACTCCGATAAATACTACTTATCCCCGATATATCCCCGATTTTCGCTATCCGATAAGGATTTTGGCCGTCCGATAAATCCCCGATAACCGATATTTAAAATCTTGGATTCAACGATTTACCCAAATTCCTCTGATGTTTTTCACTGAACAATTCGATCGAACACTTCTCGTCGTGTAATACTCCAATGAGACCCATATCATAGTCACTTGATATTTGAATGTCGTTTGTTCTGTTCCCCACAACAGGATAATTGCAAATAACATTGAGGTGATACTCACGTGAGTTGGTTAATGTAAGTTTGTGTAATTCATTAACCAATTCATCAAAAGTACACGATTTTGTTATAAACAACGGTCTCGTCAGACCTCCTTCATAAAACGAGCATATTATTTTCGAGATAGTTAATCTTCCCATCATATGAACAAATAATTACGATTCCATCGTTCATCATTACCTCTGAAGAGTAAAAAATTCAAGATTAATATTACACAGAAAAACTTTAAAAAATGTTACTTACCATTAAGTCCTATCTCAATTTTAGTCATCCATAATTTTAACCAAATTCATATATCGATGTCAAACATACGTAGTAACACTGATTTTTACATTTTTTATAATTTCCCCTCTAAATCCACAAAATTATTTAATTTTTCTTCACAAAAATCATAAATAATTCACAATTAATTTCTAAAATCTAATTTTTTACATGTAATCATCATGAAATAGTGAGAATATACAAGAAATTAGGAGAATTTTTTTAAAAATATTTTACCTTCAATTTGTTGATGCCCTAATTTCTAGTGAACTCCGACGACAACGGTGGCGAGAGCGATTAACTCCGGCAGTGGGGACTGGGGGTGGCAACGACGACGGTGGTGGTGGTGGGGACTGGGGGCGGCACCGGTGGGGGACGAGGGAGAGATAGTCTAGGGTTTAGGGTGGGGAAGGGGTGGGAGCTGGGAATGAGTTCACAGGTCTACGTCTTATATAGGCGTGGCCAAAGTCCACGGGAGTTCAACTCCCGTGGAGTTACAAACTTAATTTTTCAGAGGCGATTCTTTGGAAAATTTGTCTGAAACTCCACGAGAGTTGAACTCCCGTGGGGTTTTTGCACTGTAACAAACTTCACGGGAGTTGAACTCCCGTGAAGTTTGTTTAAGCAATAAAATTTTACGGGAGTTGAACTCCCGTGAAGTTTTAGCAGTTAGTTAAAATCTGCTAAACTTCACGGGAGTTTAATTCCCGTGAAGTTTCAGAGAAATATTTTCAAAAACCGATCTGGTTTCAGCGCCAAGACTGAAACCAGATCGTTTTTTGAAAATAAGTTCGAAATAGGTCTTTTTTTGAGAATAAAAGTCCAAAGAGGATTGTTTTGAAAATTTGTCCGAACTAAATTATATCAGTGTAGGTGCCATGATATCACTTACACAATTCTTATGAACATATCCTGTAAATAACTATTGTTTTGTAACTGCGAGAAGTTTTTGCTTATTCAATCAAGTACTGGAAGTCATAATTTGAATTCCTCGTATTCAGTCATTGCATGACACTTTTAGAACACCTTTGAAGATTTATACTGCAAAACACTAATTTTTGAGAAAACATATTCTGCTTTTACAGTGATTCCGAGTTCTTCAATTACGGGTTTGAGCACCGGTGCCATAGTTGGCGTTGTTTTAGGGGCAATTGCTGGTGCAGTTTCTGTAACTGCAGTTGTCATGATTCTTATAATGAGAAGGAACTCCAAATATAAGACACTTTCAGGAAAGCGCTCATGTAAGTATGGAGACATTATAAGAGTTATCCGGAAGATCTAGACATTCTTTTGTTTGTAATTTTAGTGAATCAGCTTGTATATGCTTGAATGACATCGACATCTATGGACATCATCATCATTTCTTTTTTGATTATCATCTTCCGAAGTAATATTCCTTGAATTCCTTTTTTTTACATATGCTCTATTTCTTTGTTGTGCCCTAAAACAACCATGGATAAAAATTAGTGATTTGGATATTACTTGTAGACCATATAGTACGAATTTTTAAATAGAAAAGCTTTTCATTTTGCCATTAATGATGCACGAGTGAAGGCATGTGATATTACATCCATAAAGATTTTTGGCATGGAGATCATAGTTGATGGTGTGAACAATCAATCTTGATGGTTCACTATGTGGTCAGTGGGCAAGAACTTTTCTCCAATGGCCCCCCCCCCCCCACACACACACACACACTGTCGTGCACCTAAACCGTTATCCCATGCGTATTGATGTGTGTTCAGGGATATCCTTCTTAGCCCATCACTGTAGTTTTCTCATCTATACATAATCAATTAATATTCAAGACTTATACCTCAAGTGTTACATTTTTAGGGGCCTGTAGTTTACTTCATTGTAATTTGAATTTTTGAGCTTAATCAGTAAACAACAAAGGAGTAGCACTTGTTTAGGTTCCTATTATTCTGTAGTTCATGTAAATTGAACATATATACATATTCTTAATATAAGCTCTAGAATATTTGCAACTTAATGCATTCTCCTCCTGCAATTGATTGTTTTCTTAACAAGCTCTGACATTTCAGTTTCATTTCACCTCTGAACTTGGTGATTGAACTACATGTTTGGTGATTGATCTACGAAATTTACTCCTTTCACTTAGGGAGTTGTTTGAAAAATTGGCTAGCATGCTGGAGTTCAACGTTTTACTGGGAGGATTATCAGGCATGGAATTGAAGCTGTGGACTTTTTAAAGAAAAACCTACTGAAAACCCTCATGAAGAGCATGCATTGCTAGTCTTGTACAATAAGATGGAAAACTATTAAAAAAATTGTTCAGAAAACACCTTTTCTTTCACTCCATTGTTTTGGTTAACATGCTCTATAGAATCAGAACTGCGGTCTACAAAGAATATAAATGGAAATAAACCTTCTGCAGATATCTTGATAACAATCAATTGATATTTACTACTATCTCATGTTTTCTTTCGGTCAATGAGGATTTAGATGATTACTGGTTGATGTATCCATTGTTGCATTTCTTCTGCGCCTTACTTTGAGTTATGTACTGTGACCAAAAACTGTTGTTTACTCGTGTAATTGGACCCATATCCATTAGGATGCATGGGATGCTTTAAAAAAAAATTAGTCTCTTATAGATTTGGAAGCAAAGGATTAAGGAATTGTGATGCCGATTGCTTGTTTTGTGATATTTTTTTAACGGAGTAAGTAATTTTTGATAAGTTGTTCAGTTATGTTTGGATGTACAATTACTTCCAGTGAATTTGATTCCATGACAAAAATTTCAACTAAAAACATTCTGATATATGCTTATTTTTACGTGTATGCAGCATCAAAAATTCCAATCAAAATTGATGGTGTAAAAGACTTTACATTTGAAGAAATGTCATTGGCGACAAATAACTTTAATAGCTCTGCTCTAGTTGGCCAAGGTGGATATGGGAAGGTGTATAAAGGCATTTTAGCTGATGGAACAGTTGTAGCTATAAAACGTGCACAAGAAGGATCTTTACAAGGATCAAAGGAATTTTTCACTGAGATAGAGTTATTGTCAAGGCTACATCACCGGAACCTAGTGTCTTTGGTTGGATATTGCGATGAAGAAGATGAGCAGGTAATGTTCTCTTGTATACTTAATATATCCTAATATTAGGTTATGCTATCACTTGTTGAGCATTGCTTCCCTTAAACGGATAATGGCTTGAAACGTGATGATTACTCATTATTGAAGGTCCTCCTTTTTTTTGGGTGATGTAACAGGCTAACAGCAGTAATAAACTAACATGGCTTTGAAATCTACAAACAAGATTCCAGTATATTGCTGTGATACTACATAATACGTAAGAGTATAAATCTTGTGAAAAAAATGCTAAATTTCTCATGTGATATTATTCCTGAAATATGTGATTTTCCTCCTAAAATGTGGTCATAGACTGATTGCTTATACTGACCTTGGGTTGTAATCATAAAAGGTTATAAGACTTCCCATTGGCTAAGTTCTACCACTACCGAAGGGTAACATTGGTGAAAGCAGACTCGTTTGCACACTATCTATCTACATATTCATGCACACATATGGAAGACGGAAGAAAGTGGAGAAATTTAGCTACTTTTGGAAGGATTTGGAAACCGATATTGGACCTTGGCTTCAATTGAATATTCATACCGTTCAAGTTGTTCTACTTGAGGCTGGTTTTCTTCAAGTCAAGCACCTAAAAGTAAATTCAAATGAATCCAAATTGTTTCCTATGTAGTAGTACTCAATCAATGGCTGAATGTACCACAAATACAGTTGAGAATCCAGGCCTTTGGTCATGATCTGAATGATTTGAAACCATTGTACACCAACTTTGATGGATTTAAAATATTCTTGATGATGGATAATACCTTGATACTTTTGATTGTCCCATTTGGCGGCTACTTGGAGTACTGATAAAAAACTGATAATCAGTTTTTTTTTTGCTGCTGCTATTTTTGAAAATTTATGGATCAATTTGAACAAAGGAAAATTCCAATTTTCATGGATTGCCTTTATGTGTAGGAAGATGTACAGTCTCTCTTTGTACATATACCTATTGGTATCAGTTACCTCAGGAAGAAAATTTTCCTTTTATTGAGGCAAAATCTTGATCTCTATGATCTAAAACACAAATATACCCAAAATCTTGTGTCTCTCTTGTGTAATACACTTCCATAGGATGGTTGCACAGTCATTGTTTTTACCGTAGCAGAACATTATTCATATCTAAGTTTATGGACAAAGAGTAGGGGAATCACAATATTTTTGGTGCAACTATGCTTAAGGTATGAAACAAAATGGATGGTGATGTTGAAATTTCTGTTGTAGAATAAAAATTTCCTATGATAGCCGATGCCAGCTAGCATGTGTCTGTTACCGTGTTTGTGTATTTTGTATATAAAAAAGCATATTTAACACTTTTTTGCCACATGTTCACCGAATACTGACCATTGCTATGTTCCTCTTGTACTACTCATCTTTGGAAATTTTGACTAGCCCTAATGTTGGAACCTTTATTCTTTGCTTTCTCGATTTAGGTAGATCAATTGTTCTGTAATGGCTATCCAATTAAATAAAGAGTTGAAAGCAAGAGGGGGACAGTAGGGCACATATAGTATGACATCCCATTATCTTGACCGTGAGTATACAGATATTGCCTTGGGGACCAAATGCAAAATTTCAATAAAGAATAGTTATCCAAAGAGTTTTAAAAGAAATTATTACTAGTTTCTATCCCTAACCCTTGGATTTGTTTAACTGCAACATAACAGCAAAACATGCACCAGGATTGCGGCTGATTGTTGTTATTTACACTTATTATAAACAAGTACTGTAGCAGCTACTTTTGCTAATTGTCTAAATTATAATGTGGGATTGTAGTTGCTAAGGTAAATGGAATATTGGAATCTCATGTAATTTTTGATGTGTTCTGTTGTAGATGTTGGTGTATGAGTTCATGCCAAATGGCACTTTGCGCGATCACCTTTCTGGTAAGCATTTTGACATTCTTTACTTTTAGTTCATGTGGTGAATCATACATCGATTGAAATAACTTTGAAGCTATTTGTTGAACCAAAATAACTTTGAAGCTATTTGTTGAACCAAAATTATATTTCTTGTTATATGAATCAGTTTGTATGAGTTTACTTAGTGATTTTTTCGATTCTTGCATCAGCTGCTTGTTATGTGAAAATAATTATATGTTTGAGGCCTTAACATAAATGAAAACTTTGACAATAAAGATACAAACCATGCATTCAATGAATATGACCCTGGTAACTCAACCATTTAGAGATACTCTGAACATTATCATTAACATATTATTGTAGCTGAAGTTTATGTCTTATGCGACCTAAACATCGCTTTTATACAACATTATAAAAAAAATTGGCCCTTCATGTATAATAAGGGTTCAATGGGACTTCTATGCTTGTGGTTTTTTGTGTTCTAATTGATATTCTTTTTTTATGTGTCAGCTAAATCTACACCTTTGACTTTTTCCATGAGGATGAGCATTTCACTAGGTTCTGCAAGGGGCATCCTCTATTTACACACAGAAGCAGATCCCCCTATATTCCACCGAGATATTAAAGCCAGCAACATATTGTTAGACTCCAGATTTACTGCAAAGGTTGCTGATTTTGGGCTCTCAAGGCTCGCTCCGGTCCCGGACACTGAAGGGACTGTGCCTGGTCATGTGTCAACAGTTGTGAAGGGCACCCCGGTAAGGTCCACTTTAAGAAATCACTTGTTTCAGATGTTACACAAATTTGGTGTTGTCCTCTACCCAGGCATAACTTCTCCATTACTAATATTCTTTATCTTTGTGAAACTTGACAATTAGTTTCTTGCGTAGGGCTATTTCATTCTTGAATATGGTAGTTATAAGAAATCAGTACTTTCTGTAAACTAGTAGAGGACAGCTCATGTAAATTAGTAGAGGACAGTGCATCTCGGAATTGAATAGCCAGTTAGTCCTAGCAAACATTGAATTGATAACCTAGTTTGAAGGAATCCACTGTTTCTCCAATTTTTGGAATAAATTTTCCATGTGTAACACAAACCATTTTTAATGTTGGAAATTTCATGTAGTATACCTATTTCTATAAACTTCAAAATGTATATGCTGCTGAAAAGACTAAAACCATGTTTCACTTGAATATATATTATCCTGCTTCTGTGTCGCTCTTTTTTTTAATAATTCATAGTTCATACTTGCTAAATTTAAAATAGTGCTGGTTACTGGGCGCTTAGCAGATGCTGATATGTATTAAAATTGGCACCTATATACTATGTGTCAGTAGATAATGTTTGTAAATTTCTTGTCAGTAACTTATATATGTAGTTTTCTTTCAGGGTTACCTTGATCCAGAATACTTCCTGACTCATAAGCTTACGGATAAAAGTGATGTATACAGCTTGGGAGTCGTGTTTCTAGAGTTATTGACAGGGATGAGGGCTATTTCCCATGGAAAAAATATAGTTCGGGAGGTATATGACTTGCTTGGTTTGACATTTTTTCCTGAATCCTTCTGCCTAGGCTTCTTGTTTTATCTTTTCCTAAAATGATAGTTGGGTTATTATTTTCAGACTTAATAATTTTTTCCCCTGATGTGCTGTGTACCTAGGCATTTAAGAGAGGTTTGTCTAACGAATGGATAACATCTTAATCAGATGATTTCGTGTGAAAATTTTACTTCCATGACAAATGCAATTATATGATTCAAATGGTTTCTTATCTTGTTTGAGCACATATATATCTCTTAGAAACATTGCGTATACTTTTGGACCAAACAATATATTTCTAATAAATGGACCGTGCAAACAAAATGCTCGAATTAAATCTTCGATGGATAGTAATCTACTATTGTGAAACAGTGTGTTTTTAATTTTATAAGTACGTATATCACACTCTATTGGAAAATGTTATCTTCTTTTACAGAAATATATTGTGTCCAATAACTATCTTGAGATAATTTTTCCTTCCTACTCTTTGCATTATTACCATTGGTCTAGTAACATCAAGAAACTCATGGTTTATACTTATTTCAGTAGTAATATTGCTTAACAGAGACCATTTACATACTATATATGATCTGGTATTTTTAGAAATATTAAAGCTATATTAATGAAAGTTCCCCGTGATCTTAGGTGAATGCTGCATATCATTCCGGCTTGATGTTCTCAGTCATTGACAATAGCATGGGATCATATCCTTCTGAATGCGTCGAAAGGTTTGTATCATTAGCTCTTAGATGCTGTCAGGATGAAACAGATTCAAGACCTTCAATGTCTGAAGTAGTAAGAGAATTAGAGAATATTTGGAGGATGACACCAGAAGCTGATGCTAATACACCATCATCAGATTCTATGGCTGCAGACAGTGCGAAGGTTGTGACCCCATTTTCACTCAGTAGAGAGCCCTGCACTGATGTCTCTGGGAGCAACCTTATAAGCGGGGTGATACCTACGATCACCCCTCGGTGAAAAGAACGAGTATCACTATGTATATGTGAAGTAGAAACATATTCTGGCTGACCTTTGTCTCTCGGTTTTATTTTCTGTTATTCGATATGTATTATTTTAATACACAATTTTTTTAATCGTGAAGTCCACATTTGTTTGAGAGAGATTCCAGTGTTAATATACGCATGTATATGTTCTCATTTGAAGATTGAATATTGCAGCCGGTTCCAAGCTGGTTGCAGCAATGATATTCCTGGTTTGACGACGAACTGTTGAAATAAACACATGGTAGATTTTTACGATTCTGGAATTTTTTACTGAGAGCACGAAGAGGATATAAACGATTATACCAACAGCATTATCTTTCATGCTTGATCTGAACAATCTTGAGCATTAAACTTTCATCAAGATAACCTTTGCATCTGTTGAATCTTACTTAGTGTTTAAAATAGTTGAAAGTAGGTGTGAAAATTGTGTAGATAGAGCGATCAGGACATTCAAATATGCAGTTTAATTATGCATAGGCAGGCAAGGCAGGAATTCGATTCGAATTAATAATTGTGTGTAGATTGATATAGATGTGTCAGATGGCAGAGAAGATCAAGTGTGGAGTTACTTGCAAATTCTCGCCATTGTTTTGTAGTTTTGGTGCCGTGGAAGAGACTTTAATGTGATGTAGGTTCAAATCTCATCAACAATCTAGTCTTAACTACATTATTAAAGCGGATTTTTAAAAAAAATACTGTGTTAGTTCATATTCTAATCCATGGAAAAAACGCTTTCCTATTAGAAAAAATATTTTTAGCATAAACTTACAGGCATCAATGCTAATCATAACTTAGACCAAGGGAATTTTTTTTTAAAGTCAAAAAAAAAAAAGAAAGAAAGAAAGAAAGACCGTATGTGATTTACAATGATGAAACGAGTAGCCTTAGAAGGAATTACAAAACTCTCGGAATGCCTTTGTATTGATCTTGGTTGTTTGCGTCTCAAAGTGTAACGCAATTCTAAAACTTACCTAGTTTATAGGTCACTTGGGCTCTAATCGAAAATTCCAGTACCCCTAATTAACGGTTCACAATTATTATTAACTAAACAAGGCTTTATTTGCACGGGCATAATACGTGCCAAAATGAAGTAGGCCCAAAAAAAGCAAAGCGTCCCGGCCCATTAACAGCCCAGCAGCCGATCCGTTAGGGTTTCCCACACTTCTCGTAGCAAATCTCCCCATATAAAACGAGCCGTTTCCCTCTTTCTGGAGTGCCGCTGTTCTCCTTCGACAATGGGCAGAAGTAAGAGTTATTTATTTACTTATTCTCTTGATCTGTTTATTTTCAATTATTGATCTAATAAAATCTCTGTTAGATCTGCTTGTTTAGCCATTTTTTTTATTTGCTTTTTAATAGCAATGCCTGCGATTGAAATGATCCGTTTAGTGATAAGAGGATTGAGATCCGATGTCCTGAAATTTTGATGTTAAAAAGTCTGTTCTTGGTTTAAAATCATATTGTGTATTGAGATAAAATGTCCAAATTTTAGTACATTAGGGGTTTTTTTTTTTTTTGTCAATCTGAGGGTATCCATAGTTTTTGGATCCGTAGAGTTAGTTGCTTCAAGCACATTGCCTCTTCTTGAGATAGTTGATCATGTGCTTGTCTAGTTTTAGGTCGGGACAATGCGCTGTTTGTCAAGCTAAAGTTATTACTTTCGGATTCATGTGTATGTTGCCGAGTTTGTCGAGCTAAAGTTATTACTTTCGGATTGTCAAGCTGTTGGTTCTTGGATTATTAGCTAAGAGGAGAGGTTTGAGTTGGAGCATGAGCATTAGTGATTGCCGAGTTGGGTCGATTCTTACTTTTGAGGTTTGAATGGAACCCGAAAGCTTAGGTGAAGATTTTTTTTCCTTCATAGGAATCCTTATTATGCCACAATTAGGTATCTTTGTAGTTCCAGTCATTGTAATCTCTTCCAAGCTTATATTCCATAGCTTCACTCTAGTATAAATGCAAATTTAGATCTTAGAGAATCCTTTGTCCTTTGATTAGTTTCATTAGGAGAATACAAGCAATCTTGTTTGTTGATGCGTTCTCTTGCACTTTTATCTATGGTTGCTGTTTTCCACGTTCTATTCGCCATCAACATTGACTCATACAAACTTATAATGCTGCTAGAGACTCGTTGCTCCTTTCACATTTCTGCGCCTTCTTCTTTCTCATCTTTATATCACATAAATATTCAAAGGTTTCACGGATAACCGGAGATTTTAAGTGTAGTATTTCACCTTTCTTGCTTGCAGGACCTGCTAGATGCTATCGCCAGATCAAAAACAAACCCTATCCGAAGTCACGGTACTGCCGTGGTGTCCCTGATCCAAAAATCAGGATTTACGATGTCGGAATGAAAAAGAAGGGAGTCGATGAGTTCCCGTTCTGTGTTCACTTGGTCAGTTGGGAAAAAGAAAACGTCTCAAGTGAGGCTCTTGAAGCTGCTCGTATCGCCTGCAACAAGTACATGACGAAGTTTGCAGGAAAGGATGCATTCCATCTCAGGGTTAGAGTGCATCCCTTCCATGTTCTTCGTATTAACAAGATGCTTTCGTGTGCTGGAGCTGATAGGCTTCAGACTGGAATGAGAGGTGCCTTTGGAAAACCTCAAGGAACTTGTGCTCGTGTTAGCATTGGTCAGGTTCTTTTGTCTGTTCGTTGCAAGGATAGTAATGGAAACAATGCTCAGGAGGCTCTTCGTCGTGCTAAGTTCAAGTTCCCTGGTCGTCAAAAGATTATTGTCAGCCGAAAGTGGTATATATACTACTAGTTTTATTCTGGTGTAAAATTTGAATTAAAAACCTGGCTGATTTATTGTTGTAATATCTTCCATGAATAGTCACTGACATTACCCTTTTGTTTTCAGGGGATTTACAAAATTCAACCGCACTGATTATGTTCGTTGGAGAAGTGAAAACCGCATTCTTCCTGATGGTGTCAATGCCAAGGTATGTCGCCATCTTTATCATCTTTAAATTACCATCGTAATTAGTTTTACTGCATAGGGTTACATATGATGGCATAAATGAGTTGCAAGTGCAGTATAGATGAGGCGAGGTTATGTGCAATTTACCTTTTTTAAATCAAGTATCCGATACTTCTACTGAGAGGATGATATTTGTTTTTAGTGTATGTGGGGGAAAAAGGCACCCCTGGAAAAACCCAGTCGTGGTGCAGTTGCAATGATACTAATATTTCAATAGAAGTACACTGTTCTTTCAAAATGCGTGATTTAAGTTATGTAGTGTCTAGAAAGCATTATGAAACCTTGCCTTCATTAAAGATGAACTGTGCAATTGTTTTTTTACCTGCAAATATCGTGTAACCTGATTAACTCCTTTTTTTTAAGTTTCAATTAAGAGCTTGTGAAGATCAGATCATGAAACTAGTTTCTTAACCTCAATTAGATATTTTGTCCTTTTTCACGATTCATTGTTGTTTCCTGTTATTTCTCAACGCATTGTTGCTTTGCGCAGCTGCTTGGGTGCCATGGGCGCCTTGCTAATCGCCAGCCAGGAAGAGCATTCCTCGAGGCCACATCCAACGAGTAGATGGAATTCGCTGGAAGGAATGTCACAAGTCTTATGCTCATTTTCAAGAAAACTTTTTGAACCTAGTTTTTACTAATTTCAGTCATCCCATCTGCTAAGACTTGTTCATTGTTGGACGCCAAATGTGGAATTTGCGTTTATCAGATTTTTGTTGGTTAGTTTAGATGGTTGTTTTGAATTCAGTAGCGCTTGATGGTTGTTTTTCTTAATTCTGAGAGGAGAGAGTTTGGTTTCAGTCAGATTTCATAGACAATGTTTATTTGCGAGAAGGCTTTGTAGGAAGTGAACAATAAAACCTCCTCTCCGTGATCAGCTGCTGCTTTGATAGTTTGTCACCCCTAGATATTACCAACATGTCGATGATGCTACAAAAGGGACCTTGTATGCTTTTGCATCCCTTTTGCCGGATTCCACAATCTTAACAAGTTCTTGAAATTGATACATAAAATTCCGAATACTCTTCACTATCAATTATCAATTCAACTAGACCGGTATAATTATAGCAGTCAGTGTGTCAGTCTAATAGCTGATAGTCAAGTGTGTCAGACTAATAGCTGATATTGATATGTGTACTAAAGTCTAAATATATTCGTCATTTTATCTCTTCATATGATATTCTTTAGAGGGCCTCCATTGAATTTTCCCCCTTTGAATTGCAATCGCGTGCTCATTCGTGGTATGCCATTGCACGGCTATGCTCACTCATTGGACTTGTTCAAGCGTCTGAATAAATACGAGAGCACATGAATTAATTCTTGTATTATGTAATATATTATTATATAATATTAATTAGTAATTATAGTATAGCGTATTTATTATAATATCATATAATATTTAATAACATATATTATTATATAACATATTATTATATAATTAATTTATAAAGGGAGAAGTGTTCCTAAGGTGACACCTTAGATAATCATCTAAGGACGTGGCCTAAAATCACATGATTGAGCTATATTGTGAATTATCCACTCCGTTGAACTTGATCTACATATTCTAATACCCCAACACACCAAGTTTGGGGTGAATCCGTCGTCGTTTGACCCTCCGTCGAGCCATGTGAAAAGTTCTATTCATTCGAAACCGTTAAAATTGATACGAGTGGATGAAGGGTCAAACGACGACGGATTCACCCCAAACTTGGTGTGTTGAGGTTTTAGAACATGTAGATCAAGTTCAACGAAATGTAGCTCAATCATGTGATTTTAGGCCGCGTCCTTAGATGATTATCTAAGGCGTCACCTTAGGAACACTTCTCATATATATATATATATATATATATATATATATATATATATATATATATATATTATATATATATATTAATTATGAGATTAATGGTATCCTTGTCATAGGAGGGGATTCCTCCTTGACGCCTCTAAAATCACATGATTGAGCGATATTATGGATGATCCACTCGTTGAACTTGATTTACAATATTCTAAAATCCAACAACACACAGTTTGGAATGAACCGCTCGTCGTTTGACCATTCATTCACTTGTATCAATTTTAACGGTTTTGAATGAATAGAACTTTTCACATGGCTCGATGAGGGTCAAATGACGGAAGGGTACCCCCAAACTTGATGTGTTGGGGTTTTAAGATATATGTAGATCAAGTTCAACGGAGTGGATCATCCATAATCGTCGCTCAACCATGTGATTTTAGAGTCGTCAAGGAGGAAATCCCCTCCTATGACAAGGATACCCATTAATCTATATATATATATATATATATATATATATTATATATATATAATATATATATATATATATATATATATATATATATATATATATATATATATATATATATAATATTATATTATATTTAAATTTTAATATAAAATTTTAAGAAATATTACATTGAATAAAGTAAAATATTATAATATTTATAAAGTGGCATTATATCCTATGATACTATATTATAATATATTAAATTAAATAATATATTATTAAAGTATTATATTATATATATTATTCATATATTATATCAATTATTATATAATGTAGCATACTAATATAATGTTAATTAGTAATTATTGTATAACATATTATATTTTTGTATAAATAAAATAATATATTATATTAAATATTATATTATTAAAATGTTATATTAAATATATTGATATTATATTATATTAATTAATATATATAGTATAGCATGCTTATATAATATAATATAATACAATATAATAATTAATAATAGTAATTTGTAAGTATAGTACAATATATTACATTTTAATATAAAGTAAAATAATATTTATATTATAATAATATACTAAATAATATACTAAACCAATTGGATAAGTTAATTTAGAAGTAATTAATAGATAAAATTATATTTTAATAAGATGTCACATCATTAATTATCCCACATGAATTGTCAAATCAAATGCTTAAATTATCACATTATCACACTTTATCCTGCTTTACCCCACTTAAAATATCCCAAAGGGGTAGAATTGTTCCATTAGAATAATTTTCCCTCTTGACCCCAATTTGTCCCCACCAATAACCCCTTTTAGGGCATCTCCAACCCATCGCACCAAAATGATGCAAATTTCGCACCAAAATGGTGCAAAAGTCACATCTAACAGTAAATCATCTTCAACCCATTGCACCATTTTTTGCACAAAAAAGGAATATTCTCAGTATCTTTCTTTTTATCTACTTTTATATGATTATTTTTTATTCCCTATATTTTTAACTATTTTAATAATTAACCCCACATATCAAATTTTATTTTTTCACATATTTTCCAAACAAACTGAATTATTATTTAAAAAATTAAACTAATAAAACAATAAAATATTGTTTTATTAATTAAAATAACTTGATTGCTAAAATATTATATTTTTATTATTAATATTGCCAAAATATTACATTCAAGAACACAACAGAAAATAAAATACAAGAAAATAATTAAACATTAACAACAATATAAAAATTACAAATTTAGTATGCACTTAACTATCTGAATTAGTGTATTCCTCCCATAGATGATCTATCAATGCATTACGAAGCGCAATATGGGCATCTTTATCCTTGATTTTTCCGTAACGTGCAATAAATTGAGTAAATCTTGTAGTTTCATCTGCTACCATATCAACTTCTGGTGTTGGTGCTTCCCTCACTTCTTGAATTGGTGCATAAAGATCACGTTCATCCTCGATTATCATATTGTGCATAATAATGCATGCAGTCATTATGTCATGTAATACATATTTTTTTTAAAAACGTGCTGATCCTGTCACAATTGCAAATCGTGATTGGAGAACTCCGAACGCACGTTCTACATCTTTTCTACATGCTTCCTGTTTCATGGCAAAATATTTTTTCTTCCTACCTTGTGGCTGTTGGATTGTTTGTACAATAGTAGCCCATTTTGGATATATACCATCAGCTAAATAATAACCCATATTATACTCTTTTCCTTGAATAACATAGTGAGCGGGAGGAGCAATACCTTGAGCTAGGTTAGAGAAAAGATTAGATGACTCCAACACATTGATATCATTATTGGTGCCTGGCATACCAAAATATGCGTGCCATATCCAAAGATTATAATCTGCCACAGCTTCGAGGATAATAGTTGGTGACCCACTACGTCCTGTGTATTGCCCAGACCATGTTGTTGGACAATTTTTTCATTTCCAATGCATACAATCAAGACTTCCTAACATTCCTGAAAAACCACGTTTTTTTCCAATATAGAGTAGCCTAGCAATATCGTTAGCGTTAGGTGTTCGTAGATACCGCTCTGCGAATATTTCCACCATAGCACGACAAAATTTTGTCATACTTTCAATTGTTGTTGACTCACCTATTTTAACGTATTCGTCCGTAGCATCAGCTGGTAGACCGTATGCCAACATGCGAAAAACAGCTGTTACTTTCTGTAACGGTGATAATCCCATTCTACCAAGTCCATCACTTCGTTGTTGGAAGTAATAGTCATGATCTTTCACTGCATCAACAATACGAAGGAACAAACTTCTTGACATCCGATATCGACGACGAAACATATCTTCTCCAAAACGTGGATTATCGGCAAAGTAATCTATGACCAAATTCTGATGCGCATTTTCTCGATCGCGGTTGATCACTGCATGACCGGGAATCGAGCCACCATGGATCGGTTGGTAGTTGTGTTGACGTAAATTGTTAACGAGGATCATGTTGTTATTGATGTACTCACAAATTACTTCTTCGGTTTCATCAATCTCTGCAATGATATTGGACAGAAAATTATCATCATCCGAAGATGAAGATGATGATAAGTATGATGGGCCTCCAACATCGAAATTCATTTTTGAAGTAAGAAAAAAAAGACTGAAGTATGCAGAAATGGAGAATAATAATTTTAACACAACAACGAGTAATTGTGTGGATGTACCTAATCTAGTATGCTATTTATAAAACTTTGCTTAGCTGTATACATTGAACCATGTGTATAGTTGAGCTGATTTTACTAAATGCTTTCTAGCTGTTATCAATTTGTCACAAAATTCAAATTTGCTTTTAGCTGTATATGTTGGACAATGTGTAAAGCTGGCATGATTTCAAAAAATGATTCCCACTCGTATAAAGCTTTCACACAATTCAAGGAAAGCTGAGTTGTGTATACGTTGGACCGCAATTAAAGCTAACCTGATTTTAAAAAATGATTCCCACTCGTACAAAGCTTTCACACAATTCAAGGAGAGCTGAGCTGTGTATACGTTGGACAATGTGTAAAGCTGACCTGATTTCAAAAATTGATTCCCACTCGTACAAAGCTTTCACACAATTCAAGGAGAGCTGAGATGTGTATACGTTGGACAATGTGTAAAGCTGACCTGATTTCAAAAATTGATTCAAACTCGTACAAAGCTTTCACACAATTCAAGGAGAGCTGAGCTGTGTATACGTTGGACAATGTGTAAAGCTGACCTGATTTCAAAAATTGATTCCCACTCGTACAAAGCTTTCACACAATTTAAGAAGAGCTGAGCTGTGTATACGTTGGACAATGTGTAAAGCTGACCTGATTTCAAAAATTGATTCCCACCGACAACATTGGATAATGTGTAAAGCTGATCAGTTTGTACAAAATGATTCAATTTCAAATGTTGACCACCGACAAATTCAAATTCAAATTCAAATTCAAACAAAAAAAACAAATTTGGATTGGCTATAAATAACATTCACGAGTTCTACTTCAAATCACCCAATTCGAAGTATTTCTTCAAAGTATTTCTGATCTCCAAACCAACCGCTTTTTACAAAAAATGTCTGTTCGATCAACTGGATACACGGTTACTGAAGATGTGCTCCTTTGTCAAGTGTTCTTAGATATTTCTCAAGACCCTATTATCGATAGAAACCAGTCTCGAGATGCATTTTGGTCTCGTGTGGAGGACAAATACAATGAACTTAGAGATCAGCATTTTGAGATGCGTACGAGCCGATCAATTCGTTCTCGAATGAAAATCATAAGTAATGAAGTAAGGAAATTGAATGTGTGCTTGAGACAAGTAGAGAATCTGAATCCAAGTGGTGCTTCAGATGAAGATATTGTAAGTATTCTATTAATTATCGTCTGAATTTTATTATTATTGTTGAAATACATAACTTGATGTTCACTATAATTTGCAGTTAGTTCGAGCAAAGATGTTATTTATGCAAGAACCAAAGTACAAAAAAGGTTTCAAATTTGATCATGTCTGGAATATGGTTAAAAATTTCAAAAAATTCAAAGATGATGTCCCCACAGCAAGACAAGTTGGTCGAAGACAATCCCAAAGTGTGAACTTCGACTCGTCACAATCAGATAATCCCACTCCGGAATCTCCTATATCAACATCTCCTGGATTGTCATCATTTACTCCATCTGAACGACCTATTGGGGTAAAAAAAGCTAAATTGAAAAGGAAAAATGATGATCATGAGTCAAGTGTAGTGGACTCCATCGAGACCTCCAACAATCGACTTATAGACAGGTTAGACTATTAAGAGTTGCTTGTCCATCTCAGGAAATGTTCCATGTTTAGTTTGTATTTTATGTTTTATTTTAATAAAGTTTTAAATTATGCGTGTTAGTTTTTATATGTTATGTATTTCAGATATGTAATTTATATTTGAATTATGTATTAGGATTACTCTTTATATTTCATGGGACTTTACTTAATATCTAGATTTTAATATTATAATTAATAATAATTTCTTTTAAATTTTAGCATTTTTTTATTTTTAAAAAATAATTTATTTTGTCCAAATTATACAATTGGGGTAAAATTATAAAATTTAAATATTATTGGAGTTGTTTTATACATTTAATAAAACAATTAGGGTCAAATTGTAAATACATAAAAGTATAAGGTAAAATAAAAAAAAAGAAAAATAAAAACAACCAGTAATGAGGTGATGAACAGTGTGACGCCAAATATGGCGTCACGCTGTTCATCACCGCTAAAATGCAGCGGGATTTGGCGTCTGGTTGGAGCTCATCATCAGCGGCATTTTCCCTTTTTGCGGCAAAATAACGCCCGGTTGGAGATGGTCTTAGGCGCACCCTGAAGCACGAGTTGATATTGCTTCTATCAGTTTGTTGTCGGCCCGCATATGGATCCAGTGTTGACTTCAGGGCGGAAAACCAGTCCTATTCGGACTGATATGTCGGCCCAACCTAGCCCAGTAAAGATTAGATTTTGGACTTGTGTATAGTTAATTAGGAGTTTAGTTCTTCAAGGACTGGGACTTTTTGTTCTTAGCTAAAAACGCTCTCGTAAACCAGTGATGAAAAATCTTCCTATTGCGAGTAGAAAAAGGATAATACATCCTTACTGCATATATGTATAGAATTTGACGGAGCTCATAAATTAATTTCTTCAAACAATTGTATGCACTAGGAGAGAGAGAGAGAGAGAGAGAGAGAGAGAGAGAGAGAGAGAGAGAGAGAGAGAGAGAGAAGGAGAGAGAGAGAGAGAGAGAGAGAGAGAGAGAGAGAGAGAGAGAGAGCTCAGAATCTAATTGCTCTCCTCCTTCATCGTCTGTCCTCCTTTCTTGAATATAGGTATTAACTATTTATCGCTTTCGTATTTTTTGACGTATATATTCGTTTTCGTTTAGAATCCATGTCCTCTCCTCCTTCATCGTCTATTCTTCTTTCTTTGAGAAAAAAAATTGACATAAAAAAGATACCAATTTGCATGCAATTAAACGATATTGTACATAGGTATTAACTATTAACTATTTATTGCTTTTGTATATTGTGATTTGTATGTTATCCTATTAGGACATGTTTGGTTGTTTTCCATAATTATAAGGAAACATATTTGCTTCAATTTTCGGTGTTTTCTTTTCTCATTTTCATGGAAAAGTATTTCATGTGTTTGTTTCGCCAAAAATTATGAGGTACAAGTAATCTCCATCAATTTTTTTGTTTGGTTCAACTTGAAAAAAGAAGAAAGCAATTGATGTGAGAATAGATTCCTCATTTTCCAGAGTTTGGTTCAAAAAAAAATTTAAAAAAGAAGAAATCAGGGTTGTGATCACCATTGCGTGCTTAGTACACCCACATAGAACAAAAATGTTGCCAACATAAATGGAGCGGTGAACACACCCACCATCACGTAAAATTGCTTATGACTATAAACCCAACGACTATTTGAGGTAGTACTTTGCAAAATAATCAAAGATATGAGGGCCTAATTCAAAATGTGAACGTTTGAGGGAGACATTTTAAAACGTTTAAATTTTGAGGGACTAATTTTAAATTTTGAGTACATAATATTAAGCCCAAGGTTCTGTTATGCTCAATTGTATTCTAAGAAAGTACCAAGAGATCTAAAGTGCAAGCCATGAAATAGAGAAGCCCTTATGTCAACTTAAGTGGACCATGCATCCATCAAACTTTTCAATCCAATGATGATACTTAGGGATCCATACAATATATAAAGAGATTTTTTATATATGTAGCATTATTATTGTAGCACAAACGGAACTGTAGTGTTTAAAAATATTACTGTAACATCATTTATTGTAGCTCAGTTGGGATACTGTAGCATTTTTAAAAAATGTTACTATAGTCCTTATTAAAACTGTATTTAAATATAGAAGCACTGTAGCACAATCGGAACTGTAGTGTTTGAAAATATTACTGTAGCATCATTATTGTAGCTCAGTTGGGATACTGTAGCATTTTAAAAATATTATTGTAGCCTATATCAAAATTGTATTTAAATATAGAATTACTGTAAGCAAAAAATAAATATATATATATATATTATATATATATATATATATATATATATATCATATATAATATATATATATATATATATATATATATGAGATTAATGAAGTATCCTTGTCAAATAGGAGGGATTTCCTCCTATGACGCCTCTTAAAATGCAGCATGATTGAGCGATATTGTGGATGATCCGCTCGCCGTTGAACTTGATCTACATATTCTAAAACTCTCAACACAATCAAGTTTGGGTGAACCCAGTCATCGGTTTGACCGCTTGTCATCCACGTGCGTATCAATTTTAACGTTTGTTTGAATGAATAGAACTTTTGCACCATGGCTCGATGGAGGATCAACGACGACGGATTCACCCCAGAACGTTGGGGTGTTGGGTTTTAGAATATGTTATGATCAAGTTCAATCGGAGGCAGATCAATCCACAATGTCGCTCAATCATGTGATTTTAGAGGCGTGCAAGCGAGGAAATCCCCATCTATGAGCCAAGGATACGCCAATTAATATAATATATAAAATATATATATATATATATAAGGGAGGGGGGGAGAAACTTTGGTGTATATATATATTATATATATATATAGTATATATAAGTGGAGAGAAAGTTTGGTGGACAAAGTACTCTTGTGACAAATAAGACCATGCTCCAACAGGTAGGCAAATTTTTACCCTCTCTCTCCTGCCACATCACTTTATTCTCCCACCACATAATTCAATAATACCCATTTCCCTATCAACTCTGCAGCAGCTAGTTTTTCATAAACATTTTTACTTTATTTGGGACCCACCAATACCACATCACACCAACATATACCCCACCATATTTATTCACTCATCTTTCTTATTTCATATATTAATTATTATTAGTATTACAACTAATATATTTATAATTATAGTTTTTTGTTATTATTACCACTCATATATGTTATTGTTATTATTACCACTCATATATTTATAATTTTTTTTATTAAAGCAATAAATAATATATAATATATAAATATATTAAATTTTTTGGTGTTCAAATTATACAAACTTAGTCTCTATTTATAGATCTTGAAAAATAAAGAATAATGGTGCAAAAAAAAAAATTAAATTCAAAATTTTTAAATGCCTAAAACTCAATTTAAAAGAAAGGTAAAAAACTAAATTTGATGGACCAATAAAATCCTGCCACGTCGCGTGTGGCAGGGATTGTGGGGGGCTTTTGATTTTTTAGTTTAATTTAATGCAACTATGGGGCCCACTGTGGCAGATTTCACCATAGGGAAATTTTTCCCCTTCTGCTCTTCTTTTTAATTTTCCCCTCCCCTTTCCCCTCCTGCTGCACCCAAAAGTCCCTCAATTCCCTTCCTGCTACAAGTAGTCTAAGTTCACCTCCATGAAATATTCAAAAAAAAAAAAGAAAAAATTTCCATGAAATCCCAAAGCACCCAACTCTCCGTCTACATCACCAACACCATTATCCCTCCCTCCGTTGTCTCCTTAACCCATGATAACGGGTCGGATCCAACCGAGAGCATAAATCCAGATCCAAATCTTGATTTCATCGACTTTGTGCTCCACGTCAACGATCGCCTCAACGACCCCATCGGCACGCTCACCGCCGACGAGGTCTTCTCCGACAGCAAGCTCGTCCCTCTCTAGCTCACACGAATGCGGTAACCCTAGAGAATTCCCCCCTCTTTTTCTCTGCGATTCGTTAGAAAATGAGTGAGGAGTTTTTCAACGGGTTTTATTAAATTTTCTGCTGAAATCGGGGGTTTCGAGTGAGAAATGTGATTTTCTGTTTTGGCTGAGGTAGAACGCGGTTTCCTTCGCATTTTCCTTTTTCTTGTTGGCGAAGGGAAAAGAACAAATTTTCAAAACAGCTTTATTTTATTTTTTTATTTTTAAATTTTTTTTTTAATCTGTTTTTCTCCTTCCCTTTTTATATAATAAATAAATAAAAAAAATTACACAGATGACAAGCGGGCAACAATCTGTTTTTTATTTTTAAAATCGTCTGATTTTTTTTGTTATTAAAACCGATCCGTTTTTTGTCACGTCAGCCTAATCACCGTCCTAAATAGTCGGGGTTGTCAACACCGACTATTTAGAATATAAAATTTTAGGGTTTAAGGCTTTTAATTGTGGTTTATTGGCAACCCCGACTATTTAGGGATTGGCAATCCTAACTATTTAGAATAATGATTAGGCTGACGTGATAAAAAACGGATCAATTTTGATAAAAAAATCGGTCGATTTTAAAAATAAAAAAAATTAAAATAAGGTTGTTTTGAAAAAGAATAATTTTTCACTTTAGCCCTATTTAAATTTTTTATTATTAAATTGACCCTTTTTTCTTTTATTTACCAAAACCGACCCGATTTCTTCATTAGCGGCTTAATCACATTCCTAATTAGTCGGGGTTGTCAACCCCGACTATTTAGGATATTAATTTTTAGGGTTTAAAGCTTCTAATTAGGGTTTAAGACCCTCCTAAATAGTCGGGGTTGGCAACCCTGACTAATTAGGAATGTGATTAAGCCGCTAATTAAGAAATCGGATCGGTTTTGATAAATAAAAGAAAAAATAGTCGATTTTAATAATAAAAAATTTTAAAAGGGCTAAAGTGAAAAATTGTTCATTGAAAAATTATTCAAGGAAAAACAACGCCCACAATAAAACTACTAAACCGGTAGGTAACAAAACCGCGTGCCGGCGTTAACTAAACTAAATAAATAATTATTATAATATATTTCATTGTCGCACTCTTCTAATTTGAGGAATTAAAATTAAAAATTTAAAGGTTAGGGCTTTGTTCGTCCGAATATCCCCACATCACCTTTGCGTTGACGTGAAGTCCTCCCTTGCAGAAGCCAACGCGATATTTTTTTTGGGGCCTCTTTTTGGGGAAATTTTTGGGCGAAATCGAATCGATTTCTCCTTTTATCAGTAGAAAATTCCCTCAGGTTCGTATCCGGTTGATTCCCTCAGCTCCAATTGAGGTAATTTGAATAGGTGGGGTTTTGGGATTTGTTCTGTTGTCTTGGGAATTTTGGGGGGATTGGGGTTTTGGAATTCCTGTAAAGATTGTATTTTATGGGGAAAAAGTTCATAATTTTTTATGCAAGTTTGATTCTTTACATTTTATTTATGACTTATGTTGACTTAATTTGATGGATATTGTATCTCGTTTTGATTACAATGTAATTTGTTAATATCTCAATTGTGCAGCTGAATCGAGGGGACAATCTGGATTCGAGGTTGATAGAAATTTTTTTAAAGCAATTTGAGGTTCGTTTGTGATTCTAAATCTGAAGAAGAAGAGAAGAAGAAGCTGGACTTATTAATTTATTGTGTTTTGAGTTAAGATACATACTCCATTGGGGTTTTACTATTTAAATCTCACCCATGAATTGATATTGGAAACCAACTGAAGACCGAGCCCTCAGCAAGTTGGCTTGAAGGTGTATTGCTGAAATTGTGCTTGGGGCTTTCCTTAATGGCTTCAAGGTTGAAGGTCCTTTCACTATTATTTCTTGGAATCATTCTTTTCTTTGGGTCAACCTTTGCCGGGTCTGAGAAAGATGTTATTCAAAGAGTTCGAGCTCCTCATAGGGATCTAGAAACTACGGTCATAGATGGGACGGGTAGAGAGGCTACATTGCATGATTCTCTGGGTAAATTTCAAGGATTTGATGAGAGGAAGGCTGGTAAAACTAGGGTCTCGGTGTTCACAGTGGCATGGCTTACACTTGCCATGGCAGCGGCAACAGGATTGGGTGCGGTTCCATTTTTCTTTTTGGAGCTGGAGCCGCAATGGGCAGGCGTGTGCAATGGATTGGCTGTGGAGTGATGCTGGCTGCGAGCTTTGATTTGGTGCAGGAGGGGCAGAGTTATGGGGGTGGTGGAAACTATGTTGTTTTGGGGATCATGGGCGGAGCAATTTTCATCTGGCTATGCAAGAAGGTATGATTTATTGTTTTTCTTTCATTTTCTTTTGCTTTCTAGGTTACTGTTGTTTGATTAGCAAGGCTGAAATTGCATGTATAGTTATCAAAGAATAGCTACTAATTTTATTGTTATATCCCCTGGTGATCAAATGACAGATGTATACTCTTTTATAATTGTTTTCTTGTGTGACTATTCCGAATGTATGTGTTCTCCTACAATTTTGATTCTTGGATTTCTAGTTTGGAGGTTACCCCATTTCTAGTTTTTTTTCTTAACGGAAAATGTATGTGTTTTAATCCTATGTTGTCGAGTGGTTTGTGGCATTTTGTTTGTCACTTCTCTACCTTTAAATTATACGATCATCTCTAATCAGAGGTGTCTGGCAATATGATATGATGAATCATGTTGTATATTAAGATATAGATCCAAGTCAAAATGTTTCATAAGAAAGTTAATGACAAATTCGAGAGGATCAAATCAGTTACAAATGAGGTTTTTTTTTTTTTTTTTTTTTTTGGGGGGGGGGGGGGGTTTGCCAATGAAGGGGCAGGGATAAAATCATATAGATATAACTGAGAATCTGCTGTCGCGGTTAGCTTTTCTTTATCAAACTATCTACTTTTATATATTCATCAATATCCCAGTTTTAAGCAAACAAGCATACTCAATCTTCATGTGTGAAGAGAAATGAGGGAGAAGTTTCTTTGTCTTTGCTTTTAATCGTACTTGTTGACATTTGATGTTTGAGTTTGGGGAAGCCACATCTCCAAATTTTATGTTGCTTTTAATGGTACTTATTTATGCTGATTGTTTTTGCTTTTCTGAATTCTCTAGAAAGATGCTTGACATCAATCCAGGCAATAGTTGTTCTAATATTGTATAATAACGTTGTTCGGTGCCACAAGCATGAGCATTCATACAACCTTAACAGGAAGGAAACTGTTGTTTTTCTAGCCCTCTATGATTCAACAATTCCAATATGTTACTGTTTGGAACCTTATCTTCTCTTACTGATATATGAAGATCATTTTCATGCCAGTTAGAACATGAGGTCATATTCATGCTATTTATTTTTAATTATTGCCTGGTGATGATGTGACCTCTACCCTCATAATTGCACTATAATCTACTTTACCCTACATAATTTGGTAACCGAAGGTTCAAGCAGGATGCATGATTTTGTTTGTATTTGTTGCTTAATGATTACTTAGCTGTTCATACTGAGTTTTGCTTATATACCAAGAAAATCAGTTACATCACTGACTTCACATTTTCCTCAGTGTCCAGTTTAAGTAATTGAGTAAGTCCAGATGGCAGTTGTAACTTCAGATGTATTTTCTCTGATTTTTTTATCAGAATTTGTTAATTGTTTTGCCTTTATATATGGAAAAATGAGTGGTACAGTGAATTTTTTTTCTTGCTTGTGATTGTGTGTCACACTTTTGGTCCTAAAATACTTTTGTTATGTTCTTATGCAGTTTCTTGAACAATATGGAGAAGTAAGCATGTTGGATATAAAAGGTGCTGATGCAAGTAAAGTAGTCCTTGTCATTGGCATAATGACGCTCCACTCCTTTGGGGAGGGTTCTGGTGTTGGAGTCTCTTTTGCTGGCTCCAAAGGACTTACTCAAGGTCTCCTTGTTACTTTAGCTATAGCTGTGCATAACATACCTGAAGGTTTAGCTGTGAGCATGGTTCTTGCTTCCCGTGGTGTTTCTCCACAGAATGCAATGTTGTGGAGTATTATTACATCATTGCCCCAGGTAAATGTTTAGAATTTTCTTTGAATGAACTCTTGTGACGTAACAATATGTATTTTGGATCAGATGTCTCTTTGCTTTAGGAATATATTACTTGGCATCTGAGTGATTATTATGCTTCGAGGAGGAAACCAGTAACTACTACCAGTACCTTTTTAGCAATAGGAAACTCGCGTCTAGAGTCAGTCAGATGAGCATTCTTCCTTATTCTTATATGCTGAAGAAGCTTGAGAATAGGGTTGATGATAAATTTGCAGTGCAAGAACCATCATTTTAGTTAATGTTTCACCATCCCAGCAAAAGGCCCATACTCAAACTAAAATTATTTATTATACATGTCAACCGATAAAATATATAATTATATATGTTTAATATTTTTTTTATTCATATAAAATATCTATAGTATGTTAAAACTAGTGTTTGCTTACCTCTCTTTGATATTTCTATTAACTATCACTTGTATTACTCTTTTCATTCAGCCTATTGTAGCTGTTCCCTCCTTCCTGTGTGCTGATGCATTCCAGAAGGTCCTGCCTTTCTGCACGGGTTTTGCTGCTGGATGCATGATTTGGATGGTGATAGCAGAGGTTCTCCCTGATGCTTTTAAGGTAATTAGTCATCTAATAAGCCTTTTACTGTTTCATATTTCTGAAAAGAGGTCGTCTGAGGGCAAATTATTGCTGAGTGCTTACGCTTAGATGATCCTTTGCTAATTGTACCTCCTGATAACCTGTGTTCCCTGTTGGCTTATGCTATGGATAATATTATATACAAAATGTGAAAGAAGAATAACAAGCAATATGATGATGGACCCTTATGTGAATTAATTCTGGTGACCTGGCAGTAATTTTCCTGAGATTTCTGAATGCTCTTCTCCATTTTCAAAAGTCTGGCAAAAATATGCCTGATCCTTTTCGGATCATAGAGTGGCTATAATATTGTTTTGCTTGGTTCTCTATTCGTTTGGTATTCCTTCTTTGCATAAGTTTTAACTTTTAACAATACTATCTTCTAACTCTCCAGGAAGCATCTCCTTCTCATGTTGCTTCAGCTGGCACACTTGCTGTAGCATTCATGGAAACATTAAGCACAGTGCTCCAATCTTTTAGCCAGGACTACAAGTAAGTTTCTTCTTCGTATGCCCATTTCTTCAGCTACTAATTTGTAATTTATCTTATTATCCTTTACTCCAAGTTACGGTGATGTGCAACTGAGGCCTCTTAATGCACCAGTTTGGAAGTGATAATATAGTAATTAATGGAACAAAGAGACCTAGAGGCAAAGTTAAAATAAACTTGATTGGAAGCAATTAATAAAGATATAATAATATTTACAGATGAGAGGAGATGATCCAAAATAGAACTGAAATGAAAGAATACAATTTATGTAGCTGACCCCAAAAAATGGGGATGAAGCTTTTTTTTTTGTTGTATCCTCAGCTCAAAGCTATATACATCCAAATTGCAGTGCAGATGCTGCCTCTGGATTCTTGGTCTCGCTTCTATTCGGCCTCGGTCCTCTATTTGGTGGAATCACCCTCGTTGCCTTCGCCCTTGCATTCCATCTCTCACATCCTCTCCTCACTGGCATCGCTTCTGGCATCTCTTTCGTTCTCGCTCTTTGGAGGCCCTTACAACTCCTCCTTGCTGCCAAACTTGGTTTATTCACTCTCTCCCTCCTCCTCGTCGCTGGCTCTGCATTATTCCACACATCTACCTCCAGCATCCTAAGGCTTGCTAGTCGCAAGAAAGCTTCTGTTAATGACTTGGCATCTCCGGCAGGAATTTCCTTAAGTGCCCTCACCCTCCAATCCTTTTTAGCTTGTGGTGCCGTCTCTCTTCATGCCCTCGCTGAAGGCCTTGCTCTCGGAGTTGCTGCCCCAAAAGCCTACGGACTTGGTCGTCACATGGTGATCCCTGCTTCTCTCCATGGACTCCCTCGAGGAGCAGCAGTCGCTAGCTGCATCTTCGGAGCTACTGACAGCTGGCGGTCAGCGATAGGAGCGATACTTGCGGGGATAGATTATGATGGGCTTGATTATTGGATGGTGTTTGCTTGTGGAGCACTTTTGCCTGGTTTTGTTAGGGTTTTTCGAAGGGCGATGAGATTGGATTCAGCCAAGAGTGTTTATGGATTGTTTGTTGGGATTGGATTTGCTTGTGTGTGTTTGATGTCTACTAGGTTGGTTTGCTTGCATACGCCGTACTGTAATTCTGCCCCAGAGGCTGTAACATAAATTTGTTGAACGACGACTTTAAACTAGCCTAGCAGCAGCTCATCAGACCAGAATAAGAGAATGGCGTACTTACGTTGTTGAGGATCTTGAAAAGGAAAATTTTATTATACTGATGGGGATATCAATGGGAATGATCATTGGCGTTAGATAGTAAAGTTGTGTTGTAACTTCTCACGATGGGACATCCGAGACGAAGTAAATATTCTTATTCACTGCAAGAAAATTTCTTGGATAATTGATGAATAATCTCACACAGTCTTCTATTTGGAAGAGTATTTGCCTTGTTCATATCAATTGTTCCAGATTCTTCTAACTTGCTAAATTAAATCGCTGAGACATATTTATTGTTTAACATCATGGTTTATTTTTAAAAATATACTGTTTGGAGTCCATAAATCTGTTGGTGAAAAATACGAGGGGAAAAAATAACAACTCATCCCTAACGTGACCAATGATGTAGAACATGTTGGTTATCTTAAGAAAGTACTACTTAGAATGCGTTAAATTTGTCAGCAAACAATAATTCAAGAGGGGGAAAAAGAATAATTAGCAACCTCCCCACGTGGAATAGAAAAAAGCGAGCGAGTATGTTAACTGCAAATATCTATTTTGTCTATTCATAAGCAGAAAATGTTCAATGTGGTTAGTGATAACATTGCTGAAAATGGAAATGTTCACAGATTTCAAGATTCAACTTCCCGCAACTAAACACCTGAAGACACAATTCAGGCACTTGAGAGCTTTTGTATAAGTGGCGAGGAACCAAACTTGCAAGTTTGTTTTCACTACCATATAACTTGTCATCTAGTGCCTTGTTTGGATGGAGGGTAGAGATGGGGAGGGGAAGAGAAATGCGGCTTTCATCTTGTTTGGGAGTTTTTTTAAGGAGGGTAGAGAGGAGGAAGGAAGGGGAACGGAGGGTAAAATTGCTTGGTTTTCTTCCCCCCCCCCCCCCCCCCCCCGATTTGGGCGGTAGAGGAGGGTAAAGAGGGGTAAAGGGGTGTAATGACATTCTTACCCCCATTAAAACAAATAAAAGGGCTGATGTGTTATTAGTATAAAGTTATAAAGTCATTTATGTAAATTTACATATATTTACTTCCTTTCACCTTCATTCACCTTACTCAACTCCCAAACAACATATTACAATTCTCTTCCATTCCCTTCCCTTTCCTTCCCGTTGTTTACCTTTCCTTCCCTTCCCTTAGTAAACTCCCAAACACACCACTAAGCAACAACTACTTTATTCTTTTCATCATAATACATTAATACTATATCCAACTCATTAATGGTTTAAGCTCTCATTTCCCTCTAAGAGCCTGTTTGTTTCGCAAAAAATTGCAGAAAGTGGGGGAAAGAAAATGAATTTTGATGTTTTTCTCTACTTTTTGATGTTTGGTTCGTCAAAATTCGGAAAGAAAGTGAGAGAGAAAATGAGTTGTCACCATATTATTGGATGAGATGAGTAATTTTTGATGTTTTCCTCCACTTTCTTTATTTTTTATTCTTTCTTGTGTTTGGTTCATTCTTAAAACTAAGAAAATAAATGAGAGAAAATGAACTGTCATTATATTATTGGATGATGTGACTCATACTTAGAAAAATCAATTTCCTTGTTTTTTTTGGAGGAAAGGGATGGAAGAAAATTTTAATGAGATGTGATGAGTTGTCACCATATTATTAGATGATTTTTTGGAGGAAAGGGATGGAAGAAAATTTTAATGAGATGTGATGAGTTGTCACCATATTATTAGATGATGTGAGTAATTTTTAAAGATGGTAGAAATTTTAATGAGATGTGATGAGTTGTCACCATATTATTAGATGATGTGAGTAATTTTTAAAGATGGTAAAAAATGAAGGAAAATTGGGTGATGTGAGTTAGATGAGTTGATTGATGTGACTCATTTTTTGTGTTTAGTTTATTTTTAAAAATAAGAAATGAGATGTGATGGGATGAGTTATCACAATATTATTGGGGGAAAGTGGAGAAAATGAAGAAAAGTGGATAAAAGAAAGTGGGGAAAAGTGAAAAAGTGAAGGAAAATGGATTTTGGATTATGGGGGAAATGAAACAAACATGCCCTAATGGTAGACTCTCATTTTCCTAAGATTCATTTATTAGATGGGTCCGCTTGTGGAGTCCGATCACGTACTTACGTCTCATTGTACATAAATCAAATTAATGTTATTGGTGCAACTTTTTCCTTTCTCTTCACTCTTTTTCATGAATACAGAAGTAGTTAGAAGTTAACGAGATATAATGATACACAGCAAAAAAGAATGCAAAGTTATATATGCAGACCGTTCACAATCATACGAGAAAAGGGATATGGTTTCCGTGTAAGTTGAACCTTTTTTTTTTATTGGCCGGAATTTAGGCTCACGCTGCGGTGCTGGTTTTTAGAAAATTCATTTTAAATTCATGACCAGTGAGATTTAAATCTAGGTTGCTCTGTTACCATGTTAAACTCTCTAATCATTAAATCAAAACTCCATAACTATGACAAGAATTGAGGGTTATAGTTTTATATTCTAATATGATCGAATACACGACGTTTTAATATCATTTGTATATTTATTGCAAGAAAGAAAAGAGAAGGTCATTAGAGGTGTGTCAAAATAAGACTCGAACGGGCTAATAGTTGATTAGGACGTTATAATCATTACTTGTCTCTTGATCTCAATCATGTATCATTAATATGTGTTAATGAATGTTTTATTGGAGTGACTTACAAGGGCAATATTATCAAGATGACTTTATAATGTGTCCCCTTCTTTTGATAGTTATAGCAGATTGTTTTCCGCTACTATTTTTTTTTTCTTGTCAAGTTTATGCGTGCAAATGTGTCAAAATTGCCAACACAAATCTTAGCTCACCAATTACTGAGCTATGAATCTGATCAGGGTAAAATCTATCAATTTTTTTAACAAACATGTTTATTTAGTATGTAGTATATAAAATCTCCCATCAGATATAAAACAAAAAGTTGTTAGTCGGATAAAATTATTTTAGACTTCTCAACGCCTTGACTTTCCTAGTAATATATCAGTCTGCCACCCTTCACACTTTCAAAATGATCAATTAGTAAAATAACAATTCTTCATACTACTCTTTCAACGGGTCTAATATTTTAATTGAATTTGACATGTTCTGATAATGAAACAATATGCTTTACTTACCTTTAACAATGAGGATGGATTTTAGAACAGTTCATGTGGGGGCACAAAGGATTCTATCAAAAGTGAGAAAAAAAACACTTATAATTCTTGTTGCTAACGATTCACAATCCTTGTTCCTGCCTCTATTGGTTACTGCATTTTATGAGCGTGCACAACTGCACATACATTTGTCTTTATTTTTTTTATTAAAGTTTTTAGGTGGTATAAAAGGATACGCTACATAAAAACTCTAAAGGCCCCCACTTGCTTTGGACGAAAGCTCCGTAACACTTAGGGGCTGTTTGGTTGTTGTTGGTAAAGTTGTGTATTTATGACACAACTTGGAAAGTTGTTGTCCACTTCATCAATTTCACTTTTATACTTTTCTTTGTTTGTTTTTGATTCCATTAGAATCATAAATCGCTTGTTTGGTTTGCAAATGTAACTTTAATTGTTTGTTTGGAAAGTGTAAAAAACGGTCCCTACTCAAATGATCATATTGGTTGGAATTATTTTTTAATATTTTTTTCCTGACTTCAATGTCAGCTCTCTCTTAAAATTATGCCTTTTTTTATGAAATCACTTTACAAGCCACATCAGCATATGAAATCATTTTACACTATTTTCACAACTACAAACAAACAATTGAAAGTGATGAAAGCTGACATTGGGACCCACTTTTTTACACTTTCCATCCTTTTACATGGTAAAAACATACAACCAAACAGCCCCTTAGATAGGGTTGCCTTCTTTGTTGTATAAATTTAGCATGGATGATTATTCACCCACAAAGAATATACATACTTCTTTAAGAAAAGTATACATGTAATTCAATTCAAGTCAAAGTTTGATATAGCATATACATGTGATGGGCAGAATTGTTAGATGAATATATGCTTAAATAGTTTTGCTTTTCTGAATTAATTAAAGATTAATCCAAATTCACTACAGTGAATCCAGATTCACTACAGTGAATCTGGATTCACTGCGTTGATGTAATTAATGCATGTGTTTAATGAGATAATTAATGCATGTGTCTGTTGACTGTTTGACTGAATCCTAGCCATTGGATGAAGGAGGTTTTTAGTTTTTAGGCTACGGAGGTTTTTATTAGAACCTCTCCCTATATATATATATATATATATATCTTGTCTATAACTTCTAATAGTCATAAGAAAAAATATTTTCCCATGAAAAGAGCTACTTAGTTTCCCAACCTTTCCACGCAGTACTCAAACGGAACTCCTCAACTACCTTACTAATCTTAAGAAGCCTTTTCTTTTTGGGTAAATGAAAAACAAATCTCTTTTATGACTAATTAATTTCTTACAAAATTTAGCTGGTTAATACTTCTAAGTGCTGGCCTAATATATACTTTTTTCTTAATTTCAGTAGCAGTACTTGTCACACCTCAACTCATTTTAATACGCGCGAAGATAACCTGAAAGATGCCATCATTTTGGCAAGCCAAGCCTATATCCATGGCGACCTTGCTCCGGTCTGATCCGAGGAGGCCATGGAGGTCGATGAGAGGGATCGAGTCATTGAAGACCTCCACGTCGACAAGATTAGGGCGGTCCCGGGTGTTTTTATAATTTTTGAGACATTGAGGTGTTAACTGTAAATTTTAAATTCTTTGCAAACTTATGTTAATTTTTTAATTTCATATTTTTTATTTTAAGTTTTGAGACATTGGGATGATTTTTATAATTTTGAACTTTTCAGGGTCTTTTCTGCAATTTTAAAACTTTTTATGGTTTTTTTAATACTTCATGTATTATAATATGTTATCTACTTGTAATTTCTTTATCTTAACAAACTAATATCATTTTTATGTTTTATATATTTTATTAATATTAGTTTTTTTAAATTGTTAAGCTAAACATGGTTCACATAGGATTAGGATAAGATATGATTATGATTAGGATAGATTAAGATATAAATAAAATATTCAAAATAATGAAGGGTAATATTGATCATTGAAAATTAGAATTTGATTATAGATAATGTAGTTCAAACTATAAAGGGGTATATTTGTCTAAAAAAGATTTTCCGAACTCGTGCTTTTAAAGGGAGTATGATTGACTACACTATAGACTTGTAATATTGCTCTTACAGACCTAAAATTTTATTTTTGGCAATTTGAAAACCAAAGTTTGGAGTACCAAAGGTAAAAAATATGTAACTTCGTGGTATCAAAATTGAAAAAAATATGTAAAATATGTAAACTATGGGGTATCATTGCATCGAAAAGAGTTAAAAAACAGATGTAAACTTTGGGGCCTTAAAGTCAAATAAAAACGTTTGGAGCATCAAAATTAAAAAGGGAAAAATGCTTCCAGCCCCCAAAAGCTAAGGAAACATGCTTCCTATCCCTAAGACTAGGCCTGTCCATCCGGGCCGGGCCGGCCCGGCCCGAAAATCCGGGCCCGAGCCGGGCAAAACCGGGACCCGGGCCGGGTCCGGGCCCGGGCTCGACCGGACCGGGTTCCGGGCTGGCCCGGCCGATTTTTTTTTTAATTTTTTCCCAAAATTTTTCAATTTTATTTAAATTTTAAATTATAAAAAAAATAAGAAAAATAATAAAAACAATAATTTTATTAAGGGCAAAACCGGGACCCGGGCCGGGTCCGGGCCCGGGCTCGACCGGACCGGGTTCCGGGCTGGCCCGGCCGATTTTTTTTTTAATTTTTTCCCAAAATTTTTCAATTTTATTTAAATTTTAAATTATAAAAAAAATAAGAAAAATAATAAAAACAATAATTTTATTAATTACTTAAAATGACATAAATTACAAATAAGAAATGATAAAAACATATTCTTTATTAATAATTGATAAATCAGTTACAAATTACAAGTACAAATTTATTTTGGAATTAATCGCATCACAATAGATAAGTAAATCCCAACTAGGTTGGCACCTACTCACCTATATCACTATCATTTGCAATTATTTCCAAAATAATTCTTTACAAATTGTAAGCTAAGATATAAAAACTACAATCTATTCTTTATATCTATCTGCTAGTCCCAATTCTTCAAATTTATCTTCAATTCCAGCCATCCGATCGATGCCTTGCGTTCGCTTCTCGTACCTCCACCAATCTTGTAGGCACATCACCGCTTGTACAGTATATGGATCCAAGCATGTCCTGTGATCGTCGATCAAACGACCTGCTGTGCTGAAGGCGGATTCCGAAGCTACCGTCGAAACCTGCACTGTTAGTAAGTCACGAACCATGGTGGAAAGTATAGGATATGAAACTGATCCATATACTTTCCACCATTGCAAAATATCTAAAGCATTTCCTTGACATCTAACTAAAGAAGCAGAAAAATATTCATCTATTTCAGAAACCTCCGATGATGACGATCCAAGTCCAGATCCACCAGTTAGCTCGGCTACCATTGCATACCTATCAAAACTTACACTTTTACCTCGGGCTCGGGATGAGCTCGAAGAAACCGAAGCTGCAGACTGTTGTGCAGCTACACCATGTCTAGCTGCATACTCATCATATAAAGTTTGAAAATAATTTCTAATAAGTAAATGATGAGTAGTAGCATTCAGGGTGGTTCCATCATCTAAGTCTATAACCTGTCCACCATACAATGACTGTAACAAACTTCGAAGGCCAATATCCTTCAAGCATGGATCAATAAGAACCCCCAAACCAAAAATATGAGGAATAGGCCTAAAATACTTATTAAATTTGCTCTCCATTTCAAAAACCATAGGTCCAAAAGTAGCATCCAAACGATATTTATCAAAAATTTTTTGAATATTTAAAATTTGTAAAGCAGCTAAAGTAATGGTTGGATAATAACAGCCAGATAATAACATGGTAGCATCATAAAAAACTTGTAACATTTCATTTAAATTACATATAACTGTCCATTCATCTTCAGTTATTCCATAAGTGCTACCAGAACTAGAACTAGAAGCATAATAGTTTATAAAATCAGTTATAATGTCTTTATATTCTATTGCTACACTTAACATTGCATATGTGGAATTCCACCTATGGTCAACATCTTTTGGAATTAGTCTAGGCTTTACATTTTTTCTTTTACAAAATTGTTTCCATCTTTTAAGTCTTTGTTCAGAAGCACTATGCATGTAAGCAACTGTTCTAACCTTTTCTATCATGGGTTTAATTTCAGTAAATGCACTTTGAACAATTAAATTTAAAATATGACAGATGCACCTAATATGAAAAAGATCACCATGACATGGCAATGATAAAAATGATCTGATAAAATCAACAGCTACATTGTTATTACTTGCATTATCTAGTGAAAGAGAAAATATTCTTTCTGAAATTTCTAATTTCATAAGTTCTTCAATTATTAAATTTGCAACATTAGCACCAATATGTGACTCTTCTATTGCAATAAAAGAAACAACTCTTTTAAACATTTGCCAATTTTCATCAATCCAGTGTGCTGTGATACATAAATATCCAGTTTGTGCTCTAGATGTCCAAATATCAGAAGTTAAAGAAAATTTACAGTTTAAATTTTTAAAATAAGAAATTATTTTTTCTTGTTCCTCCTGATAATATTTTAAAATATCACGTTGACAGGTTTGACGAGAATTTTTTTTAAATGTAGGATAAAAACCATCTCTAAACATATCTTCAAATTCATCATCTTCTACTAATTTAAAAGGAAGGTTTTTAAGAATGATAAACCTGATTACGCATTTCCTGGCTCTGGCAGCGTCATAGTTCCAACTACCGAGACTACCAGAAGAGGAGGATTGAAAAATCATAGATTGTCGGATATCACCTTGAGGAGTCTGGCCTTTATTGTGTTTATCTAAATGGCGTTTGAGGTGGTTGGTGCCGCTCTTATGATGAGCTTGAAAAATCTTACCGTACAATGCACACTTAGCCTTCTGGGTGAGGATCCTACCGTGTTCATCCTTGGTGACGTCGATCTTCTCGTAAAAATTCCACACATCTGATCTTGACCTTTTAGGAGCTCTTGGTGCAGATTCGTCGCCATCGGATTCAGGATTAACTTCGGTAGGAGTAGACCCAGTAGGAGGACTCATAGTAGGAGGACTCATTTTAGGATCGGGAGATAGGTTTTGCTCTTCATAATCAGATCCGGAAGCCATTTGATGAAAGGATTAGAAAGTATAAATAAGAGAGTATAAGAGTATAAGAGAGAGTATAAGAGTATAAGAGAGAAGAGATGAGTTTTTGGTGTGAAGAAAACAAATAAAACCCCCCTTCTATTTATAGAACCAGCCCCCTAGGCAAATGACCAAAATAACCTCACAAAATAGCCGTTTTTTGACCGTTTTGGGGGGCAAAACGGTCAAATGACAAAATCTGACCGTTGTGGTGGCCCGGGCCGGGCCCGGGCCGACGGGTATTTTGGACAGCCCTACCCAAGACTTTGTCAACGGGTGTTTTACCCCCAAAAATAAAGATTCTGTTCTCTGAGTCCCCAAAACACAAAACCCAAGATATTAAAATATGTGAAGACTATAATACCCTTCTCTCTCTCTTTCTTTTTTTATTAAAATATGATGAGGATTATTTTATTATTTTCGTTTTCTCTCTCTCTTTATCATGAAGTATTGAGATGATAGTTGAAATGATTGATGATGATTATTTTATTATTTTTGTTTTTTATTATTTTGGTTGTTTGTATTGGGAGATTGTTAAAGTTACGGGTTAATTTATGTGAAGACTATATCCTCTCTCTCTCTCTCTTTCTTTTTTTATTAAAATATGATGGGGATTATTTTATTATTTTTGTTTTCTCTCTCTCTTTATCATGAAGTAGTGAGATGATAGTTGAAATGATTGATGAGGATTATTTAATTATTTTTGTTTTTTATTATTTTGGTTGTTTGTATTGGAAGATTGTTAAAGTTATGGGTTAATTGTTAATGTTACGAATTAATTGTTAATGTTACGCGTCAATTGTTAAAGTTATGAATCATCTCTCTCTTTCTCTCTCTCTCTCTATCATGATGTTTCTTTGATGATATTGAAATGATTAAAGATGATTATTATTTTATTATTATCGTTTTTTATTCTTTTTGTATTTTTAGAATATTCGTTGTTAAGAATAATGGTTGGTTGTAAAGGTTATGCATTGATTGTTAAGGTTACGGGTTGGTTGTTAAGGTTAAGGGTTTGTTGTTAAGGTTATGGGTTTGTTGTGTAGGTTACGGATTTGTTGTTAAAGTTATACGGGCTTAATTGTTAAGGTTACGGGTTTAATTGTTAAGGTTACGTGTTTAATTGTTAAGGTTACGGGTTTAATTGTTAAGGTTACGGTTTATTAATTGTTAAGGTTACGGTTTAATTGTTAAGGTTACGGGTTTAATTGTTAAGGTTACGGGTTTAATTGTTAAGGTTACGATTTTAATTGTTAATGTTACGGGTTTAATTATTACGGTTACGGTTTTAATTGTTAAGGTTACGGGTTTAATTGTTAAGGTTACGGTTTAATTGTTAATGTTACGGTTTAATTGTTAAGGTTATGGGTTTAATTGTTAAGGTTACCGGTTTAATTGTTAATGTTACGGTTTAATTGTTAAGGTTACCGGTTTAATTGTTAATGTTACGGTTTAATTGTTAAGGTTACGGGTTTAATTGTTAATGTTATGATGGAGAGAGAGAAGGGATCCATAACCTTAACAATTGACCCGTAACCTTAACAATTAAAATCGTAACCGTAATAATTAAACCCGTAATCTTAACAATTAAAACCGTAACCTTAACAATTAAACCCGTAACCTTAACAATTAAACCGTAACCTTAACAATTAATAAACCGCAACCTTAACAATTAAACCCGTAACCTTAACAATTAAACCTGTAACCTTAACAATTAAGCCCGTAACCTTAACAACAAATTCGTAACCTACACAATAAACTCATAACCTTAACAACAAACCCTTAACCTTAACAACAAATCCGTAACCTACACAATAAACCCATAACCTTAACAAAAAACCCTTAACATTAACAATCAATGCATAACATTTACAACCAACCATTATCCTTAACAACAAATATTCTAAAAATACAAAAAGAATAAAAAACGAAAATAATAAAATAATAATCCTCTTTAATCATTTCAATATCATCAAAGAAACATCATGAGAGAGAGAGAGAGGATTCGTAACCTTAACAATTGACCCGTAACATTAACAATTAATTCGTAACCTTAACAATTAACCCGTAACTTTAACAATCTCCTAATACAAACAACCAAAATAATAAAAAACGAAAATAATAAAATAATCTTCATCAATCATTTCAACTATCATATCAATACTTCATGATAAAGAGAGAGAGAAAACAAAAATAATAAAATAATGCTCATCATATTTTAATAAAAAAAAGAAAGAGAGAGAGAATGGTATTATGGTCTTCACATATTTTAATATCTTGGGTTTTGTGTTTTGGGGCTTAGAGAACAGAATCTTTATTTTTAGGGGTAAAACACTCGTTGATAAAGTCTTGGGGGTGGGAAGCACGTTTCCTTAGCTTTTGGGGGCTGGAAGATATAAAGTTTAGAGTATCAAAGCAGAAATGACCCTATCGGAAATGCAAAATAAAAATAACACAGGTAGCATCTAGCAAAAATCCCGGAAAATCCTATTGCAAAGCAGAAATCAGACAGGTGGTTTTTAGCAAAATTTCTGTCATAATTTAACCGTATCTTCGTCCTAAATTTCTTAACCGGCCCCCTGTCGCCTTCTCTCTCTCTCTCTCTCTCTCTCTCTTCATTGATGTGCGAGGGGGGGAGAGAGTGAGAAAGCGAGCGTCAAAATCAACCAACAGCGTCAGAGAGAGAAAATAACCCAAAACCAAAAACAAAAAAGAGACCAAAAATCTCGATCTTTAGGGTTAGGGTTCCGATCCCCCACCAAATTCACCCCCATATGGAACAGAGTAACCGTCGGCGGCGCCTCTAGAAGGTACGGAGTCCAGTTCTCCGCCTCCAATTTCATCCAAGCCCCTCTATCTGCTCTATTAGAATACTCTGGAATCTTACGAAACCCTCAATCGAGCCATCAGGAGACGGAGCCCTTGACCTCCGCGCCCCCCGCCGCCCCCAGCGACGGCGAGGTCGCGATACGGATCATCGGCGCCGGCGATCATGAAAGTGTTAGGGCTTTTCCGGGGGAAGCGAACTCGTTGAGTCCATTGAGGTCTGAGGGCGAGGATTTGGCTAGGGAGAGTGAGAGGGAGGGTGGGGATGGGGAAGTTAGTCCTTTGAATTCGTCGAATTCCGCTTCGGGGAGCGGGAGTAATTTGGAGGGGGAAGGGAATGTTGGGGGAGGGAATGGGAGGGATTCGTCGTATCAGAGGTATGATATACAGCAGGTGGCAAGGTGGATCGAGCAGATTTTGCCATTTTCCTTGTTGTTGTTGGTGGTTTTCATTCGGCAGCATTTGCAAGGTACTGTATTCTTGGTTTGTTTTATGATGTAAATTTACGAATTTGGTTGATGAAGAGTAAATTTATCATAATAAGTGTGGATATATTGAAACTGATTGAAAATTGTATGTACATTTTGATACATAGACTCCTTATGTTTAGACTGTTCCGATTAATTTTATAAGGTGATCTTTTGAATTCAAGTACTGCACTCTTGTTAATCATTCTCATTCTATTTCGGAGTTTTCATGAGTAGCATGACTTGCTGCAACCACTGTTGATGCTCACTAGAAGTAGAAAGCTAGGAACTTTATCTATTGACATGCTTGTATTTGTTTTATTATTCTAGTTTTCTAGTTTACCCCTTGTATTTTAGTTAGCCAGTGGGTGTGTTTTTGCTAAAAAGCGGTGTCTTTGCGCTATCATAACAAAAGCACCCTCTGCATATCATGCTACTTATTGTGACATCATTACCACAAAAAAGTAATCTCAATTCTCAAATGTAAGACTAGCATGTGGTATTGCCATTAGAAATAGCAGTAGATATTAATATCAGGGTGAGTACATGTACTAGGATGGGCGTCTACTTTTAATCATCATAATAATATTTATTAAAGATCATAAATGGTGTAATGATCAATGAGTCTCACCTTTGTTGACCCTGAAAGAAAAATAGAAATGTGCAGTGAGTTGAGAAGAGTCCAATGGGGCAATGAAAGGTATTAAGTAGGTTTATGAGTGGAGCCTGGCTTGACTGGTCTCTACTATGTGTGGGTGTGGATCAAGTAATAGTGATCTACTTAGCTTTTAGTAGTTCATCTTCCATTCTGTACAAGCTTATCCATTGCAAGTTTGCAACTTATGATTCCTACTAGAGCCCTTTCACCGCTAGATGCATCCATAGACTTAATGACCATCTTGGTGGTCCAATAAGGTGTCTTTTTAATAACTGCAACCTTTGGGGTACAATAGCCGCAGTTTCTTAGAAATTGAGATAATTTGTAAATAGTTTATTCCTTATTAATGTTGTCATTAATGGAAAGTATATACGTAGAGGTAATATAAGGCGTAGAACGGCAGGAGTGCGTTCTGTAGATTATGGACATGGACCATATGGTCAAATTATGTTCTTCGTATTGTGGCTACTAAAACCTCAAAAATTAAAACAACAATGGATTTAATGTAGTAGGGGCTCAATTTGTTTTGAACCAGCTATGTAGTTCATATATTTGACCTATGCCCATTCATAATCTTTTTTTTTTTTCACTTAGAAGACTGTTTTCTTCATGTTGCGGCAACTAATGCCTCAACAAATATAATAAATATAGTAGGGGCTCAATTTATTTTGGACTGGCTATTCAGTTCATATTTTTGACCTTATGCCCACTCATAAGCTTATTGTACTTAGATGACGTGTAAATCACTTAACTTGTATATCTTGTTGCATGTATATTTCTTAGAAACATTGCATATACTTCCTTCTTTGATCAATGAAAGGCTGTGAGTGCCTAGGGATTCACCCATCTACTGCTTCCATTTTTCTTGCATTCTCTAACATTATTTGTATTGTACATGGTATTATCTATGCTATTCCCATTTGTTAACATTTAGTTGGCACAGTTGTTCTTTTTCCCATTACATACATGCATATTTTTTTATTAATATACGGGGAGCAGAACATAATGGAGATTTCCAATAGGTCTCCTTGTCTGTGCTTTTTATTAGAGTGGTTCTTATGACAAATCTTATGTCTCGTTATAATTTATATGTAAGCCCTTTCCTCTTTAAAGTGGGGTAGGCAGCAGGTTTTCATGATATTCTTATCACATTATTTCATTTTGTTTCTATTCCTTTTATGTTAATATGAATCTGGCCTTGTGGAAGGAATTACAGGTTTCTTTGCCACCATCTGGATTGCAGCAGTAATGTTCAAGTCAAATGATATACTGCGGAAACAAACTGCTTTGAAGGTTTAGCTAACTTTCCTCTATGTCTAGTTATGTACTTAGCAAAGTGGCATGCTTATTACTTTTGCATGTATATTCACTCATCTGTTAATTATTCATCTCGGCGATTTTTTCATGTTACATTTTTCACTCAATTGCCTAGACCTAAATGCCAAACCTTTGGATCTCACAGTGCGTATAAATTTCAGATGTGTGCTGTTACCCAATGGATTGCAGGCCCTACTTCTTAACAACGCTTGATAGTTTTAGTTTAATTAATAGTAATTCAATTTTCGTCTAGCAATATCATATGCTTCTTAAGTCTAAAAACATATCAAGAACATAGTCAAAGTTGAACAGCTTGTGAATGCCTATAATCAATCCTTTAGAAACTAAAACCTTTGAGTCTTCTATAAGTTTCTTTTAATGAATTCTATAGTTTTCCTGGAGTGATGCACATAAACTGATTAATTAGTCATTCTTCTTCCATGGCCTCCTCTTGAAGAATTTTAACCCCAGAAAATTTTACCCCAGATAAATTTTGAAGACATTTTTGGAAGGAGTTTCAAAATTTTACTTAGATCTTTCTCAGAGAAACTTGGAGAAACTTTGATGACATCATAAATAGACTTAATATAATAAATTGTAGACTTTCCAAAACCATTTTTTCAGGAGAAATTTTTAGTGAAATCTCTATGATTTGGGTTTTTCTCCAGAAACTAGGGTTTGAAATCTAGGGTTTGCTATGAAGTTGGAACATTAGGGAATTTCCATGCCTTACCATGTTGCAATTTGCTAGTGCTTTTTCTGGAAAAGGGGAAAACCCATTGTTGCTTTTTCTGGGAAGAAAAAAAGAAGAAACTACTGTGCTTTTCTGCTTGTAGTAACAATAAAATATGGAGTGCAGCTGATACACTAGGGTAACAAGGTGCAATTTGCGCTTTCTTACTTGTTCTTTGATGGTTGATTATTCTGTTTTGCAGGGAGAGCGAAAAATTTCTTTTCTAGTCGGGATTACACTTATTTTCATGATCCACGTTTTTGGAGTTTACTGGTGGTACAGGAATGATGACCTTTTCTATCCACTTGTACTTCTTCCTCCTAAGGACATACCGCCATTTTGGCATGCTATATTCATTATCATCGTCAATGGTATGCATGCAACTATTAATTTTGTTTACATATTAAGTATGTTCATATCATTTGTTAAACTAGCTGTACTTGAAGTATTCTTGATATAGACCATGATATTTTGAATACCGTGTTTATTTTGTTGAAAATAGGAACCTACTCTTAGGTTTATACATCTATTTTAGTGGTGATTTTTAACTGGTTGTCTGTTTTCACAGATATTATGCTTTATGCTCTTTACTCGTAATTGTTACATGTGGGCAGCTCGTCTTTCTCTTCAATAGGAAAAAATAAGCTCCTCCACATTTTACTTTGCAAAAAGCTTTTCTTTTGGCAGCTTAGGTATCTCAACATTTTATGCCCTCATTCTGTTGATATTTGACTTATCTTGCACCCCCTCCCCTACCCCCACCCGTAAAAAAAATCACATTTCTTTTTCCTAGTTTAGCACAACTAGCATATGTATATTTTGACTTTGCCATGTAGATTATGAGTTGTTAGCAGTGTGGCAGGTACTTTATACGTAGATACTCTGGATTCATGAATATATGTGCATTCTTCATTTTGTATTAACATGTTAAAGTGTCATTGGGATAAAAATGAGGATCATTTGCACATTGCTTCTATTAGAATATAAGAACATAACCTTCACCCTTATCAAAACTTCAGAGTTTTGGTGTAGTGGTAGGGACCTTTGAGATGACTGAATTCCCGTGCTGTAGTGAAAGCATGTAACTTTTGTACACCAATGCACATGGGATACACTGCATTTAAGTTAGTAATGTAGTAAACAGTGATAGTCAAATATCTAACAAAGCAGAATAATGGTAATAACCATCTTAAGGCTACTATAATTACTCAGGTTTCATACTAATCCAGCCCTGTTCGCAGTTAAATGAGTTGGCACATAATAATGACTCAAATAGTAGTGAAATATCGGCAGAGATTTATAATGGCTGTCAGCGTGTGGTAAAATTCTCAAGTTGCTTCCAAGGTCCTGTTCAAGGCTATCCTTCATTCAACGTTGAGGACAGTGGGTAGGTTGATCTACATGCTTAGGGGTTGTTTGGTTTGCCGCAATTGTATTGCAGTACAAGTGCCAGCTGCATACAAGTGTTATTGCATGCAGTTGTAATTTCAAGTGTTTGTTGTAGGATGTTAACACTTCTTGGACTTCTCTTGGGGTTGGTTACAATTGGAGTTGCAGCCAGTCTTTGCAACTAATTGTTAGTTTAAATAAAACAAACAACCATAACCGACAAAATGTTTGTTTCAGACTTTCAATTGCATGCAATTGCACTTGCAGCAAACCCAACAGCTTCTTATTGGCGGTGTCGTTTGAGTTTATGCAACTAAGGAACAACTCTTCAAGAGTCCAGGGCTGAATGATAGGATTTTCTATCATCATTACTTCATCTTAAGACACAAATATAAGTAAAGAGACAAATGCAGTCATTTCCTTTGAGAACTTGGATTTGTTATGAATTGATGTAGATGATCCATAGATTATACACAATTATAGCCTAAAATTATTAAGCAGAGAATGCTCACAACATATATTAAGTAACAGCGAAGGAAATATGCTGTTGAGGTTAATTTTAGGATATTTATTGAAATGGGAGAACAGATAGTCCAAATATATCAATCATAATAATCGATGTTTAGAAGACTGCTGCAGTTTGTCATCTATGTTAATAAATTGCAGATTATCATCTACTATAGGGTTATTCTACAGTAATTACTCACTATTTATAACTATGTGCAGATACAATGGTTCGCCAGGCAGCAATGGTTGTCAAGTGTATGCTACTGATGTACTACAAGAATAGCCGGGGCCGGAACTATCGTAAGCAGGTAGCGCACTAATCTAGATAATTTGGTAGGCACCATATTTTAGATTTCACATATGTAAGATATTTGATTGGAACAGTCAATGCTGAGGGTTTCTGCTTCTTCATAACTTAATACTAGAACTCGTGACATTTTTGAGTTTGGGTCAAATTAATTGTAATGAGTTTATTAAACATATTCTGCTAGAAATTTTAAATTGCTGCATGGTTGGATAGTCAAAGCCCAGTGGTTTACATTCATTGACTAATAACGTTTGTAAGAGTTTATGAGCTCTCATGCCATACCTTGCTTTGGATTGGTGAGGCTTTATCCTGTTATGAAACCTGTGGATAGTGCATGCATTAGTGGTGCTCCCTTGTAAAGTCAGTAACTGTAAATTTCTTGTGTAGCCTCATGTTGTTGTTTTCTCATTTGAAAAGATGATAATTGGTAAGGCCCCTAAGAAAGCTTATTAGGTTCCACTGTGTGGTCTACTAATTAAGGTATTGATTTGTATGTTTCTAAATTATCGGAATTTATTTTGAACTTCATAGTCATAGAAAAGCTTATTTGTAATTCAGTAGAATACATTAGTTTGTCATTTCCTCTGAAGTTGCTAATGTTGCATGTATATTAAATTTTCTCCATGTTACCAGGGTCAGATGCTAACTCTTGTGGAATATCTCCTCCTCCTGTATCGAGCATTATTGCCAGCGCCAGTTTGGTACCGGTTCTTCCTTAACAAGGAATATGGGAGCCTCTTTTCATCTCTAACTACTGGCCTGTACCTAACTTTCAAGCTGACTTCAGTTGTTGAGAAGGTATATAGTTTCAATACTCTTCCAAAAAATATCCTGACTTGGAATTAGATGAGCTAGCAATAGATTATTGCAGTTATTTATCTTTATCTTAAGCTTGTGTTTTCCAGGTGCAATCATTCTTTGCAGCATTGAAGCAATTGTCACGTAAAGAAGTGCATTATGGGTCACATGCAACAACAGAGCAGGTAAAGTACAGACTTTTCCTTTTGATTCCTTAACTCTCTCTCTCTCTCTCTCTCTCTCTCTCTCTCTCTCTCTCTCTCTCGTCTCTTCTCTCTCTCTCTCTCTCTCCACTGAGTTTTGACATAAAATTTGTTCAACATAACTATCGATTTTTATGTGTTGTTATAGTTATATTTTTAGCGTCTTGTTTAGGTGATACTGACACGATTATTCCTTAGTTTGTTGTTCATAGAAAATTTTATATAGCCCTTTCATTGCGATAAAGATTGCCTTTTCAATATTATGTTTTGTTTAGAAGAAATATATATAAATTTTATATATATATATATATGAGAAAACGGGAGGTGAGCTGGCAGCGTAGGAAATTTCCTACGCTGCAAGTGTATGACATGTGAGCCCCACACCGATGTGACTAGTAGGGGGGCGTTCATCACATTCGACAATTTGGGTAAAATAGAAAAGAAGTTTCTATAAGGTCTGATATGCAACATCATTGTTTTTAGCTTGACCCAGACTTGACACAAATTAGTTTGGATATATGGCTGAGCCCCAGATGGATACTGTTTAAATAATTGGTTTGCCTACAATTAAGAAGCTTTCCGCACTGGGTACATCCCTCTTTTTTCTGGATGACTCTGTCCTCTAAACTGATTTTACCAGGTTTAGTAGCTTCTACTCTTCTCTGTTTTGCACCAACGTCATTAACATTATTTCGGAAGTCTGATACATGGCTATGGTGTCCTAAGATTACGACTCTAGAGTATGAAATTTTTTACATAATCTTAGGATACAGTATGGGCCAGTACATAATCTTAGGATACAGTATGGGCCAGTATATGAAATCAACCTCTTTAACTGTTCTCCCATTTCGTGGATTCTATCATTAGATGCAGACTGTTGTTGTGCAACTTTCATTATGCACAATGTTGAAAAAAGTGGGAAAAAAAGCTCCATTTAAGCGGTTTTTAAAACAGAAGTAGTTCCTGGCCACTTTGCTTACCGCTTTCACTAGTATTAACCGCTTTAGAAAAATAAAACGAATAGCAGGTGAGCAGCCCTTTCGTACCCGGCCTGATTCCAACCCGCTTTTAAAACTTAAATCCTTTTCTCCTTCGCTTCCCGATCTCCTCCGTGTTCTGAACCTAAAAACACCTACTCCTCAAATTCTTCGCCTGTAGCGTGTCCACCTCCTCCATCCACCTTCCCCACCTCGGCAAGTTCTCTTCTCTAGTGAAGAATCATTTTCTCCACCTCATCCACCTCTTTTTCTCCATCGAAGCTCACCGCAAATTCAAGCGAAGCTCTCTCATCTCTAAAGCGTCCTCGACAAGTCCGCCTCAAGCAAAATCATCTTCATGTGAACCCAAAATATCTTAGACCCCTCAAAACCATTCTCGTCTCTAGCAATCTTCCGCCTTTAGCAAGTTCTCCACGCAATGATGCATCTTGAGCTCCCTCCATTGTTCTAAAAAGCCTCCGCCTAGGCGGCCTAGGTAGTACCTAGGTTACCTAGGCCGCCTGCCTAGCGTCTAGGCAGTACATAGGTTGCTCACCAAGGCTTTGAGAGTTTCTAAGGGAGCATAGTTTGCCTATGGAGACTGCACCCTTTAGGCATTGATCGTGATTCCCTCTGTTGTAGCCTCCACCCTCCAAACACCTCCAGCTTCCAACTATGAACACCTCCTCATTCTTCTCCAACCTTCAACAAAATCTCCACCACCACTAAAACGAAAAAAGAAATCCGCTTAGGCGCCAGTCCAACGCCTAAGTTTTCTATAACATTAGCATTTAGTATCAATTATTGTAATAAAAAAATAGAAATAGGAAAGCCTAGGCGCCTAGGCTTCAGGCATTGGGTCCAACTCTTAGGCCACCTAAAATATATATAGCCTCTCTTGATGTTGGTTGTATTAGCATTGACATGACTTGTATACTTTTAGTTTTCACTTTGTTTTCTAATTTTCTCCTCCTCTCAAGTGCTTTCAATACACTGCTCCAGTGCTCTTCTTTGGGTTTGAGCTTCATTAAGTATTTTTGAATTTTTATCCGTATTTAAAATTTTAGTAGGATTTGGCCCCTTTTTTTCCTTGATGCTTTTTTCCTTTTTAGCCCCAAAAAGCTTGAACATTGCCTCATTGCTTCCCTTTGCTTTCCATTTTCGACAACCTTGGTTATGCTTCTATGCTGGTAATCATGTATTCAATATGCAGCTTTGCATAGGTATACCTTCTACTAGAAAGATGCTTCATTTGTGCAATCTGCAGCTTTCTTCAATTTATTCTTTCTTCTCAACTAAATATCTTTCATCTTATTATATTTTCAATTCATTCATTTGCAATTGATGCAGGTGATTGCAGCTGGTGATATGTGTGCTATCTGCCAGGAGAAGATGCATGCTCCCATCTTGCTACGTTGTAAACATATATTCTGTGAAGACTGTGTCTCAGAATGGTAGGAGATCTCAGTACTTTATACATTTTTCTCTTCTATTTTGTTTGTTGCAATTGAAATTTTGGAGGAAATTGCTTTTTGACTTCAGTGTTATACCTTTATGTATGAAAATGGAGCAAAGCTTTGGCTTAATAGAATTTTGTGAACTTTTTTTTTCATAAGCAAGAGTTATTATAGGAGGTTAATGCTCTGATACTTTCCAACTTTTCAGGTTTGAAAGAGAACGTACGTGCCCATTATGCAGGGCTTTAGTTAAGCCAGCTGACCTCCGGTCCTTTGGTGACGGCTCTACAAGTCTCTTCTTCCAGTTATTCTAACTCTTACTTTCAGCAATATATACCGGTTATCTCAAATGATGAGACTGGCGATGAAACTGAGAGGATTCTCTGTTGGCCTGCGCCTCGTGGTTAAGGTTATGATGTATTTTAACTGATATATTTATGGCCTGTTTCTTCGCGCATTTTGCTGGAAGTTGTTCCTCAAGAGGAGGGAGGGAGGGAGGGAGTGTTCATAATCCTGTAATTTTATCTATAGGCCCAATGGTCATAAATTTTTTTTACAAACTGATGAGAAGAGAACTGTACAAACAGTTTATGAAATATATATATATATATATAAACAGCAAATTCCATGTCGCAAAATGTGACACCTGGGGTTTGATGTGGTTCACGGCCTGCCATGGTATATTTGTAATTATCAGATTAATGCACAACACAATGTGTTGGCTACTAGGGAGAAGATGCCTTGTGACCTCATGGCGTGCGATATTGTATGGTTTCAAGTTCAGACCAGCAAATTGTCTTTTGCTAGCTCAGGGTGTCAGGCTAATTACCTCTGCTAAAGTAGCATAGGGCGGTTTGGCGCAGTTGTATGTCCAAAATTCAAAAGAGAGGTGGAAGGGAGAAGGATTAGTCAGGCGGTCTGGCTTATTATGTCTCTTTTATGATTAAGCTTCTTTTGTGTGCTAAATGGATGACACTGATGTGAAACGTAGGATGAGACGCTTCATTCTTTGGGGCTGTCAATCTTTGGTTTCATCAGCTTTCTTTCTCAAGTTGTCAAAAAAAAATCATGTAGCAAAATCATGTAAGTTTGATTTATAGGACATAACCGACAAATTTATTATGTGCTATCCTCATATGGCTACGCAAAGAAACAAATTTCCGATTAATTTTCTCACTGTTTGAGAGCATCATGCTTGTAAGATGCAATATCCAGATGCTGCTTTCAAGCTGCAAACACATTTTACCGAACCGTTACATCTACTACTGTTACATGAACGACCATGAAGTTCAAAGTTTACAATCAACAACATCAAGTCATATATTTGTATACAATGTGAATGAACAATGATGACAACATAGCCCAAAAAAGTGGTACCGGTCGGTCGAAATCACAATTCGGCGAACTCGTACAAACAAAACAATCCAGACACAACCCGACGGCGAAAAGAAGTATGCATGTATCGCACCACAGTTCTACAATTGTTCATTTTCATCCTCACGTTCTGCAAGTAATTTAGAACTCGCCCTTGGATCCGGAGAAATTACTACTGATGTAACATGAGGTGAAGGAGCAGTAGGAACAATGGGGCAGGCTTCTGGTACAACAATTGCTGGAGGCTTTGTAGTAGGAAGAGCAGGCGATGAAGCACCAAGAGATGAGTTGGAGAGAGAGTTGGTTCTTGATAGCGTTTGGTGCGGACTGTTGGAAAAAACCTCGGAAACCTCTTCAATCCCCTCGTCAACATACACAACGTCCTGCATAGTGAGCTGGTGGTATTCTACTATCTCCCTTAAGAACCGATTCTCTCTTGCGTAGACTGAGTTCTCGTGCGCTAGCCTCCCCTTCTCAGCTAATAATGTCTCCAACTGCAATCGTATCTGAGAGGAAAAGGAGAAAAATGATGACAAATACAGAGTGGAAGAAGAGAAAAGTAAATACTAAACAAGAAGGATGAATAATAGATGGTCATCTCAAACAGTAACAGAATTTATAATTTTTTAAACCTGAACCAGGTCAATAGCTAGCTATGTATAAACTCCAGGCTCCTACAACCAAGGGTGGCATGAGGACCAAGTTGGAAGAAAGGGATCTTGGTTCAACCCAAACTGCACCAGGGACGATTATTATGTGATTAATTATATCAATTCTCCTATGATACTAGAAATGGGTTTCTTTTAAGGGTATCATCATATCTTTCATGTCTGTTACATGAACTCAAATCAGCTCTTAATGAACATTTGAGAGTCTATGGTTTTTTGCAGATACTGCACCATGCTTAATTACTGATGTATCCTTTGTGTTGCTGCAAGTATTCTCTTAATTTTCGTTAATTTGATTAGAAATAGAAATAAAAAACCATCATTGAAGTAGCTGTGCTCATTTTGAATTTGTCATATCCACTGCTTTTACTTAACAGGTTAAGCCCTCACATAGAAAAGGTAATCTTGTGAAGACTGAGTTGCCTACCATGCGTTTAGCTCAAGTACGGTCAGTTCTGTATTAGATTGCTAGCCTTTTAGATGCAAGTCACATGCATGGCATGGTCAGGGATCAATTATTAATATCAAATGAGATTGTTTTAGACTACACATTAATTTATTGTTTTCTGGAAGTTTATCCTCAACAAACTTCTGTCCATTCATGTGCACTTGGTGCACGTGAAAACTTACTGGTTTCTTCCACCAGTTAGATTATGTATGCTATGCACAACATAATTAAACTAATATCTAACCCTTTCACTTTACATAGTACTATACAAAGTTGCAAGCCCAACAAAATTGTGTTATGCTCATATCACATGCATTTGGAACCTAATGTACAACATTTGCAGCAATTATAGCCAAGATAGATAGCAAAAGGTGGAGCCTTCTGCAAATGAACCGTCCTCCCACAACAATAGAGAAGATTGTTTCCCATAATTTAAATGGAACACCCCCAAATATCTCACATTCAACTAGAAAGCCTACAAATTTCTTTGGGTCCATAATGTACCTAATTTTCTAATTTATAGCTGTCAACTAACTACAATTTTAATTTATTAGGGGGGAAAACAGAATAGAGGTTGGTGCACATCATACGTATTAGAGTAGTTATGGCAAAGAAAGTTATCCCGTTTACCAAAATGCTTCACCTTTTAAAATCATGCATCAATTAGATAGGTACAAAGTACAGCTACAACGCCTTTGTGAAATAGAATGGATATCAAATAGAATGTTCAGAAACATGAAATAATTATGAGCAAGATTTTAGAAGAGAGGGAACAATGTACCAAATCATCATCTTCAGGACCGCCTCCCTTCTCATGACCCTCCCTCAACATCTTATTCTCTTCTTCAAGTTGGGCGCATCTTTCCTTTGCAAAAGCAAGGTCTGCTTTGACAGTCTTCAATTCCCGCAAAAGAAGCTTCGCCTTGGCAGCCATTGCATTTGCAACCTAAAATATAAGAAGGCTATTTGATCATTGTTTAAAATAACAAAATGCTTAAATACAGAGGTGGTTTCCTGTAGGTGCTCCCTTGCAAGGCAGGAAAAAAGGCTGACTTGCATGTTAAAGCACATGATATAGATTTCATAAAATTTCAGTAATAATTTCTTCCAGTACCACATGCAAAAATATATTCAATTTCGACCTAAGCATATAAATAGACCACTGTACCAGTTCTTGAAAGATAACAAAGACCTGAACTGTCCCGAGGGGAGTTAATTAGACTTCAACTCACTCAAAATAGCATATTATGGGAGTGGACAGGCAGTCTTGCACTGTCCCCACGTCGGATTAAATCAATGCATCAAGTATGCCTTACCAAAGATTTTAACAAGTCAGATGAAGTTCATTAACACCAAAGATTTTTTGAATAATTCATTTATGTTCTTAAAATTCAGAAATGTAGATGCTCACGTATTCCTAATTATAATAAATAATATTAAGGCCGCGCGTTGCTACTGGTACTAGTAACCGAGGAATGTCTGTCGCCAAATTGATAAAGACTCATACGCTCATTATCAAGAACTTTAGAACCCCATGGATAGGATTTGTAAGTCAATGATATCTGGATTATGGAGTTTGGTGTCAAAGGAACAAATCAGACAAGCCCACATATTTTAAAAAGTTAATGTAATCCAGTGATACACATTTGCCACCTTACGTCGCGAGATGCCTTCAACTGAGTTTCATGGTCAGTATGAACAGGAGAGAAATTGTGCTGAGCCGATGTATATGAAGCCTGATTCTGTCCAGGGCCACTTCCTTTTCTCCGAATATTAATCTTTCGTGTTTCTTGGATAATGCCAGCGGTCTTGTTCTCCATGATTGTCAGACCCTCCTGAGGGAATTAAGATGCAAAGTATGACACGTGAGTACAAGAAAACATTATATAGTTGCAAGAAATATTTAATAAAAAAAGATGCATATACCATATGCTCTGACTTGAAATGCAAGAAAATTATAAAGCAAATTGAACTAGATAAACACCATAAACAATGACTTTTGACTTACTTCAATTTTATTTTTTATTGTACCACCAATGTGATTAAGAGAAGAAGCTATTGAATCTGGACTTCTCTGAGTGGGTTGAGCTTCAGCTTGTTGTAGTCCCTCAGGTGACTGATAGGATTGTGGAAACTGCAAGTACACACCAAACTAAACATAATATAGATTGCTTTTTTATTACACCTTTGAAAATGCATGAAGTGTAGCAATAAGCCCAGAAATAAAATGTCAGGTAGTCAAATTCACATATGCTATTGCAAAACGAGGATTATCTGATGAGAACACAATTGATAAGCATTATACCCAGTCCTAGTTTCTTTAGAAGTACATTACTTTCCTTTTTCTTTTGCAAGTAGTGGTATACTGGGATTATTAACATTACTAAACAAGACTTTTTCTTGAAGTCAGAATTGTAGCAAAATTTGTTCTTTTTAGAGGCATAACTAGTCTAAGTAGTCTTGGACTCTTTCCAATCGCAAAAATCCTACAAATTTGTTCTTTTTAGAGGCATAACTAGTCTAAGTAGTCTTGGACTCTTTCCAATCGCAAAAATCCTACTTGTTTAGCATTATCTTTCCTCTTCCTAGTCTAAGTAGTCTTGGACTCTTTCCAATCGCAAAAATCCTACTTGTTTAGCATTATCTTTCCTCTTCATTTTCCTATATATTGAGCTATGGTACATAAATATTTTGTATCACTTATTCAGATTTATTTTATTAAAAATTCAGTTCTCAGTTCCTTCTGGATTGAAGGTTTGAGTTAGCATAAAAAATGCAGTCAATCTGATTGAACAAAATGAAGTAGAATTTCTCTAAGCAGGAAGTTGGATATGAAGAAACAACATATACATATATGGAGTTGATGAAGGAAGGATGTATTCACTGTTAGAAGACTGTGTTTGGCATTAAGACATCAAGTCCACAACGATACAACATATCCAGAATCAGGTGTACGATTAAGCAAAAGATTTGCAATGTCATCACTGATTCGGCAATAGCGACTACTTAATCAAGGTTATAGACTTACAGTGGATTGCAAGAAGTAAATGTCCTAAATATGAGATGTTCTTCTATTAAAAAAAAAAGATGAAAGGAACCTCCATTCAAAATTGTATAATAAATCAATTAATGTAAAACGTGATGCTGTGTAGCATAAATCTCACCTGACCACCTGTTCTCGAGTCAAAGGTCCCCGGCTGCTTCCTACCAGAGTTTTCAAACCTCTGAGATGCGTTATCATCATCAATTAGAGATTTGGCTTTTCTAGCTAAGACTCCCCAAAATCCATATTTGGACTCGTTTACATTTTTCATCGATGTATCAAAGGCACCAGAATCCTACATTGGTTAAAAAAAAAGAACACCAGAAGATAAAAGGTTAATACAAGTCTATATTTTGTAAGTAACATATCAAGTTATACTTGTTGCAATATTTAGAGAATTTTTTAAAAAGATGATCACTTGTCTAGTTAACAGTTATTAAGTTCCCTCGATGTAGACTGTAGGCCAAAAATCCATTTGCTTGAACTTCAAGAGTTATTAAGTTCCCTTGACGTACACTGTGACTTCTGACATCTTTGACAGGAACGGGTTTCAAGAGGTCCAGCATTCTTAATTTTCTCATGAAAGCCAATTTATAATATTTTTGTTTGCCCCAGTTAATGTATCTTTCATAGAAAAGTAGTCTTAAGTTAGAGACCTTACCATGTGACTTTAAAGCTCAATGAAGGGGAAAGTTGAAGCATTATTTTAAATATCCCCAATATATCATTTTACAAGGCTTGCCGCAAAACGATATGGTCTCAATCCCCTTCACCACTTTTTGTCAAATTTTGGGTGATATATCCTCGACATGGCCAATATATTAGTTGATAAGTTGGCAATTATGTCCTTTTATATGGTTTGTCACTAAACAATGTTGTTTTGCAAAATTTCTTTAATGTATTTTCCCAAAAATTCCCACCTTATTAAGTCTTTTAACAAATTCTAATAGACTATTTTTCCAAAATAAATTTCTACAATTAGTTAGTGATCCTACACATATATTATTAACATTTTTGTATGCTTAGATTTCATTAAGTATGTTTAGCTTATATTTTAGTATATTATATTACATATGAACATCATCTGATACACACTGATATTTACAACATATCCCTAATATTCCCCCAACATCCACAATCCAATATGGATTTTGGACGTTTCAATATTTCCCCAATATCTGTTATTTAAAATCTTGCGTTGAAGGGCTAAGTTTTACAATTTTACTTGATAACATTGTTCATCCATAGCCGTTGCTTAAGCTTTTACTAAAGTTTTACAATCCTCTCCACAACATGTTTTCTGAGGAAAAACATAGTTGTCAGAAAACTAACAGCACACATGTCAAGATGAAGGTTCCCTAAAAGGTGAATTTTACCTCTAGATGATAGTTTTCCAGCATTATTAATGTCAACTGCCTACAAGTGCAGTAAACCAGAAGTAGGCAACATGACTGCTGTTCACTGCCTAGTGCAGAGCTTCTTACACGTTATGGCAAAAAAGATTAAAGTAAAAAAAATATTAATTAAACATATCCAACCTGACCCATTATTAGTACGGTAGGGATAGGTAAGATCATGTTCAAGTTGATTCCAGTAAAACCCAACATCTACTTGACTGCTGATTGTTAAGCCATCATCTTTTCAAATGGTGGCAGAATAGTACTCCAACAAGTATCAACAATATTCAGAAAACGGAAATAGTTTACAAAAATGCTGGAAAGGGATTGGTAGCATGTACTCCGTTAAGACAATGTAGAGCATACAGGGTAGTTAAAACAACACAGACAACTTTACTCCAAATGTTCAGTGCTCGATGTGACTCCTCTACACCAAGTTTCTTAAGGGTCAACTACTCTATAAAGGTAGCATCAACAGCATCAATAAATTTGACCTTCAATCCAGGTTCATTTCAGGCAAACCTGAATCCAAGATGCTCCATCAAATAGACAATTAGACATAAATCCCTAAAGGATGAATCCATTGGTCTCTACTGCACACCGCCACAATCGAAAACAACTCTTGCACATATCGTCAATCAAAATCTACATCTAACATTTCACCAAGGTATTATCATTATTTTCAACCGATTGCTCTCTTTCATTTCAACATTTTCTTTTAAGTTACACATTTCCTGGGCATAATGTTTCCTAATTGTCCAACATTTTGATATATAAATCCAGATTGTTTTATCTGCTTTAAGATTTCCCTTCTTCTTTTGGGTATTTGAGTCATATAGGCCTGTACCTAGTCAAAGAATTGAGTGGCCATCTGAACATTCTTCTTTCAACTGAGGTTAGAATTAATAGATCATAAAGGTTTCACTTGTTTCTTCTTTTTCACTTTTGATTAAAAAATATGTCAGTCTAGACATTGAACGAAACGTTTTCCGTTATGTTATATATCTATGTGCATCAACATCCCCATGAATGATGTTTGTGCTTCATGTAACTGACTATTTGTTGTATTTGTATCATGTCTGGTGCAGGTGTTTGTGCTTCCTAGATTTTGGCTTATATACATTTTTCAACATCCACTTTCTAAAGTAGCAATAAGATTCCTCACCAAACGTCTTCAACTTTTGTGTCAAAAAAACATGGAAAAAAATAGAGAAATTGTTTTTAATTTTCTGGTATCTTATCCCATTTTCTTGGAACCAAAAGATTGGCGAGCCTGAAAACTACGAATTTCATTACGAGAACCTGATTTTTCACTCAACATAGTGAAAACAAGCCGAAAAATCGTATTAAACCCTCGCATCACTTTACGCGAAGCAAATTTCCAATCATCCTAACACAAAGTTTGCGACTTTAATCGATAAGTTCGTATTCTAAGTCCAAACTACGATGGATCGAAACAAATTTTCATCTAATTAACCAAACAACCATAAATCAGCACAAAATCCAAGAAGATCAACTCACTAACCCTAGGAGAAACGCTGGATCTCCGACGATCAGGCAAATCCTTATACGCTGAAGCGATCGTGGATTCGCCATAGGCAGAGGAGATGGAAGAGTCGCGGTGGGCGGACGAAGCTCGGATCGCCTGGGCAGCGATCGGAGATGGATTCTCCTCCGCCGTCGGCGACGGAGACGGCGGTTCTTGACCGGATCTGGAGTCTTCGAAGGTGAAGGATTTAGCGTTTCCCTGCCGTCTTCGATACGCCATCGCCTCACTGGCAATCGCGACGGATCAAAGATTGCAGACGAATTTTATTTTTATTTTTTGAACTTTTTTAATTTTGGGTGATTACTTTGGATTTTGGGTACAGACTACAGTTTAGAGATAGAGAGAGCAGTGATGGCGATCGTGGTCCATTTTCGGTAAACAGGGTTAGTTGTTTAATTTTTTGATCTTTTTATATGGATCCCTTAAGTCTTTAATATTTATAAATTGCTCCCTCACGGCATCAAAATTGCATTATTGCTATCTACCTTTTAAACGGGCTAAATTGCATAAATACCTTACATATTCACCAACCAACCTTGCACTTAAAAGCCCTCCCTTTTAAACTGTGTACATAAATGTACTTAAATGCTTTAAATTTTTAATGTAGATAAAGATATTGTATTGTTGGTGTCCTCTATTAGTAACGAAAAATTCTCTAAGGACCCAAAATATGGGACGAATAGGGGGGACAAGTGAGGTGTCCCCCTCCTATTGGATAATGAGTTGGCCATCATTAATGATGATCAACTCATTATCCAATAAGAGGGGGACACCTCACTTGTCCCCTCTATTGGTCTCATATTTTGGGTCCCTGTAGCAAAGCTCATTAGTAACATGTGAGCGGATTTTTTATTATTATAATTTTCCCATATGACCTATCAGGTGATATTCCGATACATTTCTTGACTCCTAAAAATCATCTAATTTATAAATATACTACCATTATGGTATATTACTATTTTCAATCTTAATTCTACCCAAATCTCGTTCCTTCAAGTATTTTCTAATTTTATTGCAAGAAATGAAGAGGGGGGAGCCTCTAGATCCTTGGAGTGGAAATCCCAGCCCATATATATTGCCCCCAAGTTGCCCTTCTTCAAGCTCCAAAATTATACAATTCACCCCTAGTCCAGATGTTAATGAGCTAGAGGCACTTGCATATGTACGGGAAATGTTGACGATGTCTAGGTTTTTTTAGGGTTGAATGGAAAACTTAAGTGTACTGTTTTGATAGAGTTTTGCTACAGGGTCTTAAAATATGGGACCAATAGGGGGGACAAGTGATGTGTCTCCCTCCTATTGGATAATGAGTTGGTCATCATTAATGATGGTCAACTCATTATCCAATAAGAGGGTGACACCGTCTCATATTTTCGGTACGAAAAAGTCCTCAAGGACCCAAAATATGGGACCAATAGAGGGGACAAGTGATGTGTCCCCCTCCTATTGGATAATGAGTTGGTCATCATTAATGATAGCCAACTCATTATCCAATAGGAGGAGAACACCTCATTTGTCCCCTCTATTGGTCCCATATTTTGGGTCCCTATATCAAAACTCTTTTGGGTACTTGAGGAATTTTTCGTTTTGATATATGAGACATTAAGTGCATTTAAGTGCAATTTAGCATTTAAACGGAGGGGAGTATTTCATTTAACTTACTTTTTATTACATATTTTCAATTGTGCCCCTCTCTAAATCCGTAGACTCTATTCAGCTAAAATTCAATAATTCTCTATTCTTCCCTAGCCATTATTTCTTTCCCCTGGCCCCTTTGACACCGTCTCAACTAACTGATAATTGAAATATAGTTTAACACCTGCGGTTAAATAACTGTTGGATTTATTTCATGTTAAAGGTGAAAGTTCTCAAACTCATAGCCTAATCAATATCAGTCCTCTTTAAAGCGAAACTTGGTTAGCTGGCCGTGCGCCGCTGATTGTGGATTAGACTATTGCGCCAAGGTGCTCACATTTGCAATATTCCTGACAAAATATATTGAATATTAATTTTCTTCGAGCGGAAATTCATGTAGATTTATTCACTAATTGAGCGCACTGGCCACATGGAGATAGTCGGTGAGCGCACGGACCACTTGGTTTGCTATTCTGGTGGCCGATGAGCGTGTGGGCCACTTGGCGGTGGACGTTGAGTGCACGGGCCACTTGGTTTGCCATTCTGGTGGCCGATGAGCGTGCCGGCCACTTGGCGGTGGCCGGTGAGCGTGCGGGCCACTTGGAGCTGGCTGATGAGCGCGGGGGCCACTTAGAGGTGGCCGGTGAACATGTGAGCCACTTGGTTTGCTATTTTGGTGGCTGATTAAGGCCACATGGAGGTGGCCGGTGAGCGCACAGACCACTTGATTTGTCATTCTGGTGGCCGATGAGCGTGCGGATCACTTGGCGGTGGTCGTTGAGCACGCGGGCCACTTGGAGCCGGCTGACGAGTGCGCGGGCCACATGGAGGTGGCCGGTGAGCGCACGGGTCACTTGCTCTTTTGGTGGCCGATGAGCATGTAGACCACTTGGCGGTGGCCGGATAAACTTTCTCGACTTGGATGATGACGTTTATCGTCTCCTCTTCGTCATGCGCTGCATGCGGGAACCTATAGGCATTTTTCAGAAGCCTACAAAATGTGATTAGAGCTCCTCTTTATATTAAATTTTTTCAAAATAATTTTTTTAATTATTAAGTGCCAAATATTAGCTCATACGAGAAAGTAAAGTAATCTATGGTTTATATACATATATAATTAATCAATCAAACATATTAAAATTGTGATGACTACAGTCCAAATTATATTGTGGGTTCACATTAAATATAATTTATAAAAAATAGTACATTAAAGTCAAAATCTATTTAACCACTATATAGATTTGTTGAATTTTTTTGCATATATAAACTATATTGTCTACGAATAGTGATGTGTGGCTTAATACATCTTAAGAACATCTTACTCTTCAATATCATCGTTAATTGATGTATATATGAAATACACTAAAAACACAATGAAAATTTAGAAAACTACAAAAGAAATACCCTCAAAAGTTTTAAAATCTGTATAAAACCCCTAAAATTTTATAATTTATAAATACAAAAAGCTACTAAACGTTATATTAAAATCGAGGAACTACAAAAAAATTATTGAAAAAATTCATACTTTGGAGTGGTAATTTGCAATGTACTAAACTTTAATGTTTTTATTGGTAAATTTCAAATTGAATAGAATTTTAATTAGTTTTGTTCTTTCCAAAATAATTTATGGGTAATATTGACCATGAAAAGTTATTCCCAAACCTATACTTTTAAAGAGAGTAAGATATTTTTTACAAAATTTTAATTTTCTAGGGGCTGTTAGTAATTTTGTATATTCATTTTAGTGTCTATATGTTAGAAATTCTCATGATGTTTTTTTGTAAATTATGAATTTTAGGGAGTTTTTTATAATTTTTTAAACTTATAGGCCTTATACATATTGTAAATTGTTTATAGACTATTTATATTTCTCATGTTTTCAATTTGCTAATGAGTTTGAAATTCTCAGGGTGTTCTTTGTAAAATTTGAATTTTGAGTGTTTGATTATAATTTTTAAAACTTTAAGGGCGTTTTCTATAAATTATAAATTATGTAGGGAATATTTGTAATTTTTATATTTTTAATGTACTGTATGGTTGAAAATTGTCAAGTTTTTTATAAAATTTACAATTTTAAGGGTTTTATTTTGCAATTTATAAAAAAATAGAGTGTTTATTTTAAATTCTATAATTTTTTGAGGTTGTTTGTGTTATTTATAGGTTTTTAGTGTGTTTATAGGTTTAAAATTTTCAAGGTGTTTTTTTCAAAATTTAAATTTTAGGGGTATTTTTGTAATTTTTAAAACTTACAAGATACTTTCTTTAAAGTCAAAAAACTTTCAGTTTCTAGCTAGCAAATGTTTTTCAAATTTCTCATTGAATTGAAATAAGTAAATTTTATAATTTTTAAGGTGTTTTAATAAAATTTTAAAATTATAGGGGTGTTTTTGCAAATTAAAAAAATGAGTATACTTTTTACAAAGTTCGAAAACTTTTAGGTGCTGGCTAGCATATGTTTTTTAGATTATTCTGTGAACTAAAATAAGTAAAGGATTTGAATTATATCAAACATATATCTTTTATCCCAAAACATGTTAAATCTCATTATGAATAGGATAAGTCATTTAATTAGCAATTCAAAGAATATAAGATGATTAGAATATATTAGGATAACAATGTAATATTAAAAAAAACTTACAATATCCAAACTTTTAATAATTGAAAAACCTGTTCGGAACAAAGAAATATACAATAAAAACCTTGTAAATTTTATTGTCTATATCAATTGTAATATCAGGTTGGTATATAATAAAGAGCAAAAGATAAAAAATGAATCTAAAAATATATTAAGATATACTTGAATCAATCATATTATATTATTACTTATGTTTCGGAGACAAAATATGTTCATAATTTTAAACTATTAAATAAATTGTAAAGGCCCATGAGCAGACTTAGATGAGGCCCATTGAAAGTTACAATAATCACATTTTGTCTAATATTACTTATCCCAACCCGCATTTGTATTTTGTTATATAATTTTTCTATAACATAGAGCAAAGCACCTGTAGCTCAACTGGTAAAATGATTTGATCATATATCCCAGGTTCGACTCCTGGCAGGTGCATATTTTTTTTAACATAATGCTCTGAAGGAGTTGGGGGCGGAGAGTATGTGGACAAACCTTTCCTTTTAGTATGATCAAAATTTTTGAGAAAATAAAAATATCTCCCAACCTTTCAATCTCACAAACCTTTTCTCAGAGATATAAAGTTTTTGAGAATATAAAAATATTTTCTGGTCTCTCTATCACATAGGGCCAAAATTGAGTAGTACATTTTTGTGTCAGTCTTTTTATTTTTTTTAATAAGCAGTCTAGAATCTAAGATAAGACCATAGAGTCATATTAAAACATTCTAACAGTCTCAATCAACCGCAGTTTGTTTTTCCTTTTGTTAGTCTTTGTTAGACTCTATATCCTAATTGAATCTTCTGATTCGTAAAAAAATTATTGGGTATACGTAACAGAGAACCACATATGAAATTAGTGTCAAACTTGATGATTGTCCTTAAAAAATAATCAAACTCTTAAGATGAAACTCAATCCCCTAAGATAGACCTCTTATCCCATTCAATTATATATGAAATTATACAAAAATAAAAACACAGCTTTCAACATAGATCGATCACACATTCACACTGCGGTTGACATCTGCTTCAAAGAAAAGAATGGAGCATGCCTCAAATCAAAGTAATATTTTTTTTCCCAATAATATGTCTTCAGCTGAAAAGAACCATGCATTTTTATTTTTTAGCGTCTTGTTAAGTATTCTGTGAAACCTCAAACTTGTGAAATAGTACTATTGGGTCATGCACAACTGGTTAGCAGCTCATGGACTATACATTGGTAAGTTTAGGCTTAATGTAACTAAACCCCGCTAACATTTATTTGCATGTTTTAAACAAACATTTTTCCTTTAAATTTAAAGTGAATACAAAGCACACTGGCAGCTTCATTGGTAGAATAATTTGTTTATATCATCTAGGTTCGACTACTGCCAGGTGCATATGGTTTCCCCTCAAAAAAATTACATAAAAAACATTAATGGTGTATCAGTAATTTCACCACCTTTCTTTTGTTTATACCAATAAATCTTTAAACCCATGCGATGCATGGACGAGTATGGTCATGTTATCCTTATCTTTTGTGTATTTTCTAATCTATATAACTCTCCTTATCTTTCAAGCTCTCCCGATTTTTATACACGTGCAGTGCACATGGTTAAATATCAAAATATTTTTTTTAATATTTATTTCCTTACTATAAATAAGCCAGATTCATTTTGAGTTTAAATATGTAAATTTGAATTATTAGATTTACTATTATTTTTATTTAAATATTATTAAAAATCGATTTAATGGATTTTTAAGCTAAACTGTGATGAATATATCTAACTTGGATATTGTAATTGTCATTATGAACTATAGTTATAGCAATAAAGAAATCACATTTCTTATTGCATAGCTCTCTTTCAAGCTCTCTTGTCTTGTCTTGTCTTTATTATATATTCTTGTATTTATAGGTTTGAAATTTTCAAGGTGTTTTTTTATAAATTTTGAAAATTTAGGGGTGTTTTTGTAATTTACAAAACTTACAAGATACTTTCTCTAAAGTTAAAAAACTTTCAATTTCTAGCTAGCATATGTTTTTCAGATTTCTCACTGAATTGAAATAAGTAAAAATTGTAATTTTAAGGTGTTTTAATATAATTTTAAAATTGTAGGGGTGTTTTTGCAATTTAAAAAACTTGGAGTATATTTTTTACAAACTCTGAAAACTTTTAGTTGCTGACTAACATATGTTTTTTAGATTTCTTTACAAACTAAAATAAGTAAATGATTTAAATTATATCAAACATATCTCTTTTATCCAATAACATGTTAAATCTCATTATGAATAGGATAAGTCATTTAATTAGCAATTCAAAGAATATATGATAATTAGAATAGATTAGGATAACAATGTAATATTTTAAAAAAATTAAGGGTAATATTGACTATAGAAAGATTTTCCCGAACTAGTACTTTTAAAGAAAGTATGATATGATATGATGATATGATATGATTTATTTGTATATTTATTTTTTTTGGAGAAAAGGTTTGAGCCTAGAATTTATTGATAATAAGCAAAACTAATAATTACAAAGACTATACATGGAGATGGACTAGGCTGCCAAACAGTTTGGTTTTATCCGAATCAATCTGGATCCATATTCGAATGTATGCAGATATAATAAACCTTTTTAAAAACTGAGCAGATAGGGTTTCAGATATGGATCCAGTTTTAAAATTCTGTTTTTAGATAGGAATGTGGATCTGAATACGAGTGCAAATTCGGATACGAATATTGGCAATTCAATTAACATAAGGATTCGGGTTCGTTTATATATCAAAACCCGTAACCCTAACCGGCCCAAAACCCAAATTTCTATGTGAAAAGAACCCAACTTTGTCAAATCCGATACCTCAATTGCCAAATTCTCAAACCTCCGCTGTCATCTCCCTCCTCTTTCTCCCTCGCCGCCTCCAACCCCGCCGCCGTCTCCTCCCTCCTCCTCCGCCCCCTCTCCGACGCGCTCCTCCACGAGCAGGACCAGCACGCCCAGTCCGCCGCCGCCCATCCTCTCTGTTCCATCATCATCCTCGCTCTTCCATAAGGTCGAATCGAAACCCTAGTTGTACATACACTTGCTTTGCGTTTGCTGTTTGTTTGAAGTAATTCTGGATTAGGGCTGATTCGTTTGTGTTTGGTATCATTATTTGTTTGTGTTTGGTGTCACTGATTATTTTGCATCCATTTTGCATCCGTTTGAATATATATAGACAGCCTCCCCATAGTTCGCTGCCTTAATCTCCACTGATTTCCTCTTGCTAACCAATTCTTGAACAGCCCCAAAAACTATCTCATTTGTATTCTCACAGCTTTGCTTGTATTCTCACAGCCTATGTTGCTGAAGATGCATATGCTACTGATTTGCCCCCACATATATGTGAATTGGACTAGTTTACTCCTGTGTTGATTTTGTTCTTGTCTTACTCTTGTTAGGACCATAGAAAATAATTTCGTGGAGCGTGATGAAAATTTTGTAGCTTATCAGTTAGCAAATGTTGCTTTGAATTTTTTGTCATAATCAATTCATATCCGATTCATATCCATTTTTCAAATATTCGTTTCATATTCGTGATCGTATCCGTTCCGATTCTCTAGTATACGAACCTTATCCGATTCTGATCAGTGCGGATATGGTTAAGATTTTTTCTTATGAAGAGAATCAGTATCCCTATTCGTTTATAGAAAACGGATATGGATATGTTAAGTGCCATATCCGAACTGTATCCACAACGTTAACACCCCTAAGACGGAGGGATGACAAAAGAAACTAGGAAATGTTTAGGGTATTTTACTTCTATGTAGTGGCAAATGATCAAAGCTACAATTCCACTAAATATTTACAATGGAAGAGTAGGACTCATGATCCCAAAATTTTAGGATAAAGACCATCAACAAGTTATTCTCCAATCGTTCTAACAATATCATATCATCTTTGATCATTTACCAATAAAATACCATAAAAAAGGATCAATTTTTTGAATTACAACCAATTTCTTAAGCAAACAAAGAAGTAACTTAATCAAACTGCAATCTTTATCCAATGCTGGTAATTTCTGCTCTCAAAAGAGAAATCTATCTAAGCTGATTGAATAAATCACTAAATACATGATAAATCAATAAACAAACCAACATCAATCACAATAAACTCACAAAGAAAATCAATTCAAGCTAAATATCGATAGAAAAAACTATATTTTGACATAAAAAATCAATATCATGGAATACACAATTTAGATCATCAAATTCATCTCATTGCAAACCTAGCAAGAGAATCTCCCAAAATCCCGTGATTTAAGAGGTTTTACACGGAATCAAAAGGAGATTGTAAAAAGTTATAAAACAAGATAAAATTAGGATTGATTCGTAATTACCCCAAAGTTTCCTTTGTTGTTATGATTTGGGAAGCGAAATAAAAATTAAGTCTTTGAAGAATTATTAGTTGATGAGGAAACACAAAACCAAAGGAAGCCTCTTTATTGTTCGTGTATTCTACTCGCTCTCGATCTTATAAAGTGTAGAATAGGTTGGAGGCGTAGGCTTGCAGGGTAGTACTTCTTAATAATGCTAACGTGCGCTGCTATGCCATTTAGGAGGTAATAAAGGGTAATTCTTATAGTGGTACCAATCTGACTTATTCAGTGTTTTCAATGCGCGAGGCGCAATGCGAGGCGCAAAGCATCTTTACGCGCACATGCGCAAGGCGTAACGCGATGCGCGCGCCCGAGTGATGCAAGGCGCACACCACACACATAATATTTTAATATATGTAATCAAGCACGAAAGAACATATTTTTAGAATTTACATAAAAAATATCATGATAAATAATATCTTGCTACAAAATCATAATATATTGCCTTAATTTCTAATGCTAACACCCAACATAGTAGCAAATTTCATAAATTTTCAAATCAAATGTTAAATCAAGACTTATATCCAAACTAAGGATTAGTAATGGTCCTCAATTGAAGGTTATTAAAAAAGCACAATGGATTTATTTTGTTTTTTGGGATATGGAATATCAAGTATAAAGACTCGATTGAAATGTTAACAAAAAAAACTATATGAGGAAATACACTACATGCATCCTACACAAAGTACGGATGTACGCGAGGCGCAAAAGGCACTGCTGCATCAGATGTGGGGCGCATCGCCACCGCCCCGCATCGTAAGGCGCATGAGGCGCAATGAGGCGCGCGCATTTGAAAACACTGGACTTATTTTTAAGTAAGTCCCCCGCTTCTCAAATATTTTAAAGAAGTCCTTCAAATCTATAAGTATTCTTAAATAAGTCCCTCAAATCTCATCTTAAGTCTTATATATGTTAAATAAGCCCCTTAGATCTATAAATTACTTTAAATAATTCTCTCCAAATGAAAAATTGCTGCTGCCAAATTAACTAAACTAATTCAATCTTTCTACTTCTTCCCTCACATGTCCTAGATAGCCATGCTTCATATATATTTGCAACATAGTGCAATAGAGACTTCTCAATAAATAACAAGCATAAGAAGAGATATAGAGAAGTTTTATAGAAAATATATCTTGAAGAGCAATATGAGACACGCAAGACTAATTGAAGTCAGTTAGCTTGAAAATAAATTACTAGTTCCTAACATAGGAAGACTAATTTAAGAGAACTTAATCAACTTATAAATTTAGAAGACTTATTTAGAATATATAAGCTTTGGGAGACTTATTTAAGAATACATATAAATTTGAGGGAGTTATTTAAAATATTTGAGATTTGAGAGGCTTACTTAAAAATTAGTCAGATTTGAGGGTACTCATCGATTTACTCCAAGTTTAAACTACTAAAATCAATAGATTGTTTATGTTGCACCTCAGAATATTCAAACTAATGATATTTTATTCAAATAGAAGTCGGTGGATATGTTCACTAAATTTATTCATAAGCCTAGGACCAATAATTGGACAAGGGAACAAAGCACCCAATATCAACATGTCATGTAAGAGGATATCTTCATAATATTAAAAGTATCATAGGAAACTATTCTGCAGCATGACACGGGTTTAACACTAGTCATTATATATGAGGAAACTATTCCGTAGCATGGCGCTGGTTTAAGACTAGTCATTATATATTAGGATATTCTCTTATATGACATGCTATTATTGGACGGTTTGTTCCTTTGTCCAATTATTGGTCCTAAGCTTATAAATAAATTTAGTGGACATATCCACCGACTTCTATTTGAATAAATATCATTAGTTTGAATATTCCGAAGTGCAACATAAACAATCTGGATCTAACTTTGCTGAAAAATATCAATAACGCTAATTTTAGTAGTATAACTTGGAGTAAATCGATGAATGCCCTCAAATCTAATTAATTTTTAAGTATCTCAAATCTTAAATATTTTAAATAACTCCCTCAAATTTATATGTATTCTTAAATAAGTCTCCCAAAGCTTATATATTCTAAATAAGCCTTCTAAATTTATAAGTTGATTAAGTTCTCTTAAATTAGTCTTCCTATGTTAGGAGCTAGTAATTTATTTTCAAGCTAACCGACTTTAATCAGTCTTGTATTTTCTATAAAACTCTTCTCTATGTCTCTTCTTATGCTTTCTATTTATTGAGAAGTCTCTATTGCACTATGTTGCAAGTACATATCAAGCATGACTATCTAGGACATATGAGGGAAGAAATAGCAAGATTGAATTAGTTTAGTTAATTTGGTGGCAACAATTTTTCACTTGGAGAGAATTATATAAAATAATTTATAGATCTATGGGACTTATTTAACATATATGAGATTTGGGATGAGATTCGAGGGACTTATTTAAGAATACTTATAGATTTGAAGGACTTATTTAAAAATTTTGAGATTTGGGGGACTTAATTTAGAAATAAGTCAGATTGGTACCACTATAAGAATTACCCTTTATTAAAAAATACCCAAACATGCGCATAAGAATCACATCAGAACCAAGCCTACAAGTCATTCTATGCGGATCGTGTAGATGTTGCCATGCGTATCCGGTCCGACGGAGAATAGTCCAAGTTTTCCTCCTACTTCGAATAAAGTAGCTATTCAGCCCTCTCTTCCCATTATCTCAAATAATTGATTAAATCTGTCCCAAATAAATCAAAAAATCGTCATCATCATCCAAATCAAAACATAACAGAGAGTCAAAAGAAAAAACTTCACTTTATTGTCCTTTTTCTACTCTTGCATCTGAGCTTGCGACCCCTCTTTAAAAGATTGATCCTGGTTATTATCTATATTGAGGGTTGGTTTAAATAAAAGAGGTACCGATTTTTTGATTTGATTATGTTTGCATTGAGAATTTGGTGACTGGAAATTGGTTTTTTTTATTGAATGAAATCAATTATTAGAATTTGGGTTGTTAGGATGTTAATCAAAGAGAAACCCATTATAAATTGATTTTTGTGTTGAAAAATGATGATGATGGGTGAAGTATCCGAAATATCTGAATACATATTAGTCATGCTGTTACGATAGTTTTAATCCTTAGATTATGAAATTGAGGTTAATTTTGATGATCAAGATGTCTAATCTTAGCTTTTAAGAGATAATGAACATATGAATGAATTCTTTTATATCACATGAACTATATTTTTTTAATACTATCTTATTTTCTCATATCCGTTTTGTATCTGCATGCATATCCGCTTATATATCCGCATGTATATCCGTATCCATATCCGCATGTATATCCGTATCCATATCCGATTTTAGTAGATATGGATATGAATTTTCCTTACCGATGTATATCCATATTCATATCTGTATCCAAGACGTGTAAACGGATATGTATATGTAAGTATCATATCTGAGCCGTATCTGGACCGAATGCATCCTTACCTAAACGGCGTAGCACACGTTAGCATTACCAAGCAATTCTTTCCCGCAAGCCTATGCCTCTAACCTGTTCTACGCTTTATAAGATCGAGAGCGAATAAAATACACGAATAATAAAGAGGCTTCCTTTGGTATCGTGTTTCCTCGTCAACTAATAATTCTTCAAAGACTCAATGTTTATTTCGCTTCCCAAATGACAACAACGTATACAAGGTAATTACGAATCAATCCTAATTTTATCTTGTTTTAGAACTTTCTACAATCTCCTCTTGGTTCCGTGTAAAACCTCTTGAACTACTGGATTTTGGGAGATTCTCTTGTTAGGTTTGCAATGAGATGAATCTGATGATCTAAATTGTGTGATTCCATGATATTGATTTTTTATAGCAAAATTTATTTTTTATCAATATTTAACTTGAATTGGTTTTCTTTGTGAGTTTACTACGACTGATGTTAGTTTGTTTATTGATTTGCCATCTATTTAGTGATTTATTATTCGCTCAGCTTAGATAGATTTTCGCTTTTGAGAGCAGAGATTACGGACATTGGATAAAGTCTGCAGTTTGATTAAGTTACTTCTTTGTTTGCTTAAGAAATTGGTTGTAATTCCAATAATTGCTCCTTTTGTTGTATTTTATTGGTAAATGATTAAAGATGATGTGATACTGTTACTCTGTTAGAACAATTGGAGAATAACTTGTTGATGACCTTTATTCTAAAGTTTTGGGATCGGCCAAATGAATCCTACTCTTCCATTGTAAATATTTAGTGGAATCGTGGCTTTGATCAGTTGCCGCTACATTGAAGTAGAATACCCTAAATATTTTCTAGTTTCCTTTATCATCTCTCTGTCTCCGCGTAGTATAGTCTTTGTAATTATTAGTTTTGCTTATTATCAATAAATTTCAGGCTCAGGCCTTTTCTCAAAATAAATAAATAAATAAATAAAAATAAAAATAAAAAAATAAAAAAGTAAATTAATAAAAATCCTACTCTTCCATCCAGCTCTTATGAAAGCTATCTCCTTCACTAAGCTAAGCATTATCATATCTTTCCTAGTAATTTCTATCCAAGTTCTCTTAGGCCGATGTCTAGTCCCTCTTTCTCCATACTAATCAACTTGTTGATTAGTTGATTATTGTGTAGGACTAAAGTGGTTTGTCAAGTATCTTATTGCTTATGGATGTACTTGAATCAGGAAGTTAAGCTATTATTTATTGCTTTCTTGTTGGGCTACATCGTGGATATTGATTTTGTATGTTTTTCCCTTTAACAGATAGGTTTTGAGCACTCTTGATTGGTTCATTGCTTGGCCTTTTGTTTGCTACAGTAAAAATGAGCTCAGCAGTTTCATCATCACGAGGAAGCTTTTTGACAGCAGGAACTGGCTCGTTGGACTCAGTACGTTCGTTTGGTCAGTTTGAAGCTTCTGAAATGGATCCTTCTGAAGAGAATGAACCTGAGTTATTGTCACTTTCTTGGAATCAGGATTATCAATGCTTTGCTGCTGGGACTAGCCATGGTTTACGGATTTACGACTGTGATCCTTTCAAAGAAACCTTTAGAAGGAATCTTAAAAGTGGATTTAGTATAGTGGAAATGCTTTTTCGTTCCAATGTAATGGCTCTTGTTGGTGGTGGATCAAATCCACAGTACCCACCGAATAAAGTAATGATTTGGGATGATCATCAGAATAGGTGCTTAGTTGAATATGCTTACAGATCTAATATTCGAGCTGTTAAATTGAGACAAGATCGCATAGTTGTGGTTCTTGAACACAAGATAAATGTCTACGACTTCAGTGATCTGAAGCTTATTCATCAGATTGAGACAATATCTAATCCCAGAGGTTTATGTTGCCTTTCACATTATGCAAACACTTCGGTGCTGGCTTTCCCTGGACTGCATCGAGGACAAGTACAAGTTAAGCACTTTGGTCTGAAGGTTACAAAGTTTATCAGTGCACATGATTCTCAACTTGCTTGCCTCACTTTGACTTTGGACGGGTTCCTTCTTGCAACTGCAAGCGTTAAGGGTACTCTGATCAGGATATTTAACACAATGGATGGTACACTCTTGCAAGAGGTAAATGCATTACACTTGCATTATTATATACATGATCTCTTACGAGAGTTAGTAAGTTGATACCTCCTATATGTTAGCTTCCAAAGTAGACAATATTCAATCTGTGTTTATCTTAAATTACAAATATTTATGCTATATACATTTTTTTTGTAAACACTGTAAAAACAGATCTAATATAGTTGTGTTTATAATTAGAGGGTAGGGTTAAGGACAGTTCTCTGCTCGTGGTAGGTTTGAATTCTGTTGATGTCGGTAAGATTCACTAATGAAGCCATTTCATATATTTACCAATTTTTAGAAACAGCTTGTGATAAACTTTTTAAATACACTCTTGCATAAACATAAGAAGTAACTCTAGTCTATGATAAACTGCCATGAAAAAGTAGATTCCAAGTGATATATGGTTGCTTAGAAAACACAAATTAAGATAAGAAATTAGAGATTACTAGGAATTCAGGGATGAACTCCTAATGCTCTTGTTATCAGAAGTTCATAGATTCTTGGAGCTTATACAAGATGGATAACTTCATCTAAATTCCTGGGTTAACACCATTTGTAGTATGTTTTTAACCAAAACACTAGGAAAAATAGATGGATTATTTCTAAGGCGAGGCCTTTCTTATCTTTGTTTGTTCCTCTATATTTTAGGCCTCTTACGTGAATGTCTCAGTATATTTCTGTTGCACATAAAGTTTGGAAATTCATACAGTTTCTCTATGACTTGTAATTTGGAGGGACTTCCTCCCTTGTAACTACAGTCTGCAGCTATGTACATATTAATGTCATTTCCTATTATGTTTCAAGGACAAGAAACAAAGTGGAATGTTGAAGAAAAAAGGAGGGCGTGGAAAACAAAACAAAAGGAAAAGAGAGATGCAAAATAGTAAAGATAAGGGAAAAGAGAGAAGGAAACAAATGAAGGAATGATGACTTTGTATTTACCTATCACAGTGTGGATTACCTAGGCATTATCTTAACAAGGAAAGGAATAGTGACTATGTATCTTTGTTATCTATATGCCAATCATTTTCTTTTCCTAAGACTATTCAAATTTTAAGGAAACTAGTATAATGCATGTGCTTTGAACGTGAACGTACATGTTTTAAGTTTTGAATTTTTTATTGAATAGTAAAATTATGTGTTAATAAATAAAATTGTATAATAAGATTGCTCTAAAAGAAATGTATGAATTAATTATTATTGTGTAGTTATTGTAATTGAAGGTTTTTCCTATAATGATCTCCTAGTGCTAACCTTTTTTTAAACGAGTCCCCAAATCTACAATTGTTCTTAACTAAGTCTGCCAAATTTATAAGTTCTCTTAAATATGGCCCTCCAACATCAAAGTTGTTAACTTAACTCTAAATTAACTAAGCTGCATTGATCTTGCTAGCTTTTTCTTGATGTTCCGTGAGTAGTTAAACTTAATGCCAACAACATATTGCGATAGTTACTTCTAATTATAATTATTTAATAGAGTAAGTTACACTTAACCCTTATGAACTTTCAGCCCCTATGAACTTTCAAATCACAGTAAACCCCTAATAACTTTTCTGTTTCAAAGAAAACCCCCAATAACTTTCAGATAACCCCTATAAATTAGAACCAGAAAATGTCATAAAAAGACATTTTGAAGGTTATTGGGGGTTTGGTGTAATTTATCTAAAAGATATTGGGCCTTTATACTCAAGTTATTTGGGGTTTAGTGTTTTGAAAGTTCATAGAGTCTATTTCCTACAAAATGCTGAAAGTTCATGGGTGTTTACTGTAACTTATCTTATTTAATGTTATAATTCTTAGTTCAAGTAATACTATTAAAATAATTATACTACCTATATACTATAAAATTTTTATCTAATTTATTTTTTTTAAATTATGTTCTTAAATAATTTAGTACTATAAATACTTTATATATTTTTATTATACTATTATTTAACAATTAATAGTACTATAATTAATATTAAATAATTTTTGTGTAAAAAGGTTAGTTTTCTGTCATTACTAACTACTAAGTATAGATTATTTAGTATCATGTAATAATCTTCGATAAAATATTCTAAAAAGAATATTTATTTAATTTATTTAATAATATCATACGAAATAAGTAGCTTAATTTATAATTTATGTGATATTATTAAAATAATTACACTATTTATGCGATTAAATATTTATTCTATTTATTTACTTGCTCTTTGAATTATAGTATAATTCTTAATGGTATTTAGTAATATGTTATTTTATCTATACTATTGTTTTAATTATTTTAGTATAATTCATAAATAATTATTATAATAAATATTTAATTATTTACTATTAATAATTGTGTATACTTATTTTATAAATTATTTTATTATATTATTATTAAACAATTAATAGTTATAATATTATTGATAATTATAATTATTTAGGAAGGTGAGGAGGTGCATAATTAATAAGTGGTTATATTTATTTAATGAAACATTAATTAGAGATAATGACAATAGTTAGAATTTATCAGAATTTCAGAGTGCAAAAAAGAAATTTAAATAATTATTATATAATAATTTAATTAGTTCTTATTAGTAATTGTGTATACTTATTTTATAAATTATGTTATTATATTATTATTAATTATTTTATTATATTATTATTAAATAACTAATAGTTATAATATTATTGATAGTTATAATTATTTAGGAAGGTGAGGAGGTGCATAATTAATAAGTGGTTATATTTATTTAATGAAAGATTAATTAGAGATAATGACATAGTTACAATTTATCAAAATTTGAGAGGGCAAAAAAAGAAATTAAAAGTTTTAACACCCCATCCTCTTTCTATAGTAGTATAGATTATGGAAAAGAGAGAGGGTGGGTATAGTTTTTAGAAGGTTAGTTATGCAATTTAACCCTGTGTAACCAAGTAGCAATGCTCCAAAATTTCTCTAAGACTAAAATGCCTCCAAAAGAAGTGAACGATGATAGTTGCTATAAGCCACTACATTCATAAGTCATATCCATAGCCTAGACAAAAGCCACCAGTAAACATTTCCAAAATCTGTCCAAATATGGAGATCCTACAACATATCTACTCTCCCCCCACATTTCTAAAGCTAGAAGCCGTGAAAATTTTAACAAGCATCGTTCCTACTGAGCTTTCATGGTTCCATTTGCAATACTATATATTTTTCATATGTTATTATTTGTGACATTGTTTATCAATTCCTCTAGTGCTTTTTGTTGCCTGCTGCATCCCCATTAGAGACTTTTATATACATGACAAATTTTTGTGTGGGAATATTTGGTTGAAATGTGCTTCCAGCTCACATTCCATATTTTCTTCTTTCAACAGTTAGCATGTATACATTGGTCCTGATTGACTATAATGCAGGTAAGAAGAGGGGCAGACAAGGCTGATATATATAATCTAGCTCTCTCTCCAACCGTGAGGTGGTTGGCAGTTTCTAGTGACAAAGGCACTGTCCATATATTTAGTCTTAGAGTTCGAATAGTTGGAGAGGATTCATCAAACCAGAATGTTATTGGTCACGGTCCGCAGTTGGTACAGCAGAACTCTTCATCTTCTCTTGATACTCTTATATCTCCAAAAATGGGTGCCAACACTAGCTCATCATTATCTTTTATGAAGGGTAAAGAATATTATTCCCTCTGATTGTTTTTCTTTTAGAATCAAAGAAAAATGCCTTCAGAACCTGTGAAAGAGTTTCTTTCTTCTTTTATTTCTTCATCTAATCCACAGTATTTCCTGAGCATGTCAGTCAGTTTGATGATTGACCTTAATGTGTATATAGACTCCATATTCTTTGCGATTTACTATTTTTTTCTTTCTGTTGGCTGCTTGTTGAGTGCTAAAGAGATGAAAACTTTTAACTAACCGGATGTAATGTAGCTTTCTCTTAGTGCTTCTTCTCACTTTTGTTAGTTTGAACAATCTTCTCATATGCCTGCGTTGTTGAGAGAACCAAACTCTACAAAAATCTTTAGTAGCCATTCATGAGCATATGACATGTCAAACATTACCAAACTTCTGAGTGTCTGACTTTTAGACTATGGTCAAAGAATGTAGCTTTTTTCTTCTTCATATTCTTAGTTTAATACAAAATTCCGAATCCTGATGTACTTGGCTCGGATCTAGCTTGCAAGTCTGAAATCTGCATAAAACATTGGTGGAGAATCTTTTGTTTTGTATTTTATTTTACTTTTTCTGACCTTGTCACTTTAAAACTAATTATATTATTAAACTGATCAAAGAATAATGTATTAAAAGTTCAGATATACTTCGCATTTGAACATAAGGGATGTCCTTAGTATTAGTTATCTCAGGCTATCAACATGCATTCAGTTTCCATAAAGAAGAATTTGGTTGAGTTATAGCACTGTCCTTTTGGTTAGAGCTTCTCTGGAACAAACTGTTTTGTTAATGCATTCTCTCGCTTATGATCAATGTGATCAAGGTGATGGTCATCGTCATCATTTATTACTACAAAACAAGTTAAACAGTGTAGAAATTTTTGGTTCGCTTCACTGTTATTACTTGACAAATTAAGGAAGACTGCAACTCCATTATCATTTTGAAACTGTAAAAATAACTGATTCCTATATTACCAAAGTGCACAACTGTGCACAACTGCTCAAATCTGATTCATGAATTTCACTGGATTATCATCTTTACACTTTCATTTTGGGAGGGGAAAACTTTCAGCTTAATGATGCTATCTCTATTGTTAGTACTGCTTTTATTACCGAAGCTTGCTGCTTTTGTTGCTGAACATTGCAGTTATTGGTGAGAAAAAGATGTTCATTTTGCATCCATTTTTATTTCAGGTGTGCTGCCAAAGTATTTTAGTTCTGAGTGGTCATTTGCTCAGTTCCACCTACCAGAAGCCACGCGCTACACTGTTGCATTTGGAGCTCAAAATACTGTAATCATTATTGGTCTGGATGGCAGGTATTACTCCTTTTCCTGAGTCAAATTTTATTTAATTCCAAATATTTTGATGTCTTCTTTTTCTACAAATATTTTTTCAATGTGGCTTTTTACAGCAAATAACGGATAAATAGGGCACTTTCAGATCTTTTTTGTTTTTCTGTTTTCCCACTAATGTTTGTTTTTCTTATCTTACTCTTTAAGTGTACACTTCATGTCCTTATATTCTGAGCTCACTTTGGACTTGACTAATAGATATTAGTAACTAGAATACATCAGTTGATGTTTCAGTCATTGTAGAAATTTGCACCTCTACTTTTCTTGCAGTTCTCACAAAATTCATGGAATTGTTTGTGTAGATGGTCACAGTCGATTTATTTACCTGGGAGTAATATTCAGCAATAAAGCGCTATGTTAATGAAATATTGTTTTTTAACCAAAACTTTGCGCAGGTTAACGATCAGACCTGAAATTTTATTCATTGAAAATAAAATTTTTACAGTTATAGGGATAATGGCCAATAAGAAAAATCAACCGTGTAGAAAACATGATATTATAAACTATTTTGTAACATGACAAACTAAACATGCTGAAAAAATCTCGAAAGGCTTAAAATAAACAAAAATATATAAGAATCCACAAACTTTGAGACCTAAAAATGGGTAAACTATGAATATCCTGCACACAAAGATCCCCACATTGAGGTGGCAACTCGTGAGGTGAGTGAACACAATAGAACTCTTGTGATGATGAACTAAACTCGCCAGAAAATCTGCTGCTAAGTTTCCTTCCCAAAAAACATGGAGAGCAGGAGTCTGCCCTTGCAGAGCGATACATGAGTGAACTGAAATGAGTAAGATCCCCCAAGGACAAACATAAGTACCAAACAGAATGTCAATCAAAACTTTGGAGTTGCATTCTATTGAGCCAGGACAAATAATAGTAATTATCTTAAAATAGTGTTCACAAAGTAACCTTCACGGAAAAGTTACAAGGAGAAATTATTAGTTTACGGATATCTATTTTCATAATCAGTACGTGTATAACATGTGATATCAATGCTAGAAATGGCAAATACTTTCAGCAACAAGTCCCTTGACCTTTAGCTATGAAATTATAGATATTTTCTTCATGGGCATTGTATCTGAGAGCAGGTTCTTGCTTAAAAGGTAAAAGAGCCTACCTGGGAGTAGAACCTAGTACAGTGACTACCCTTGCTCTTTCAACCGTGGTATACCCTAATGATCCTTTAGCTTTGCTTGATGTAGTAGCCCCTTTACTATGAGAGTAGAATCAGGGGAGGCGACCGAAGGAAGTTGGTGTTCTGTAGGGGGTGCCGATAGTCTGTAGTTCCTGGATTTTGTCACTTATAATGAATATATTTAACTGTTAGATTATTAGATAGTAATGTGGAGATTGATGTGCACAATGGCATAATAGAACCAATCAGCGTGTTCTTGTCAATTGCAACATATTTTACCTACTGGCCAAGTTGCCATGATGGCAATTAGGCATATGAGTATGGTTCATAACCTTTTACCTACTCTCTTTGACGAAACTACGACGATTAGTTTCAAGTTTTGCTATATTTAGGAACCTGTCATATTTCATGGCTTGACTGATAAATATATTGCCTGAAATTTATCTTCATCACATGCACTCATATACTACTTTAATAATTTTATATAAATAAGAAAGTGAAAATAAAAATGCAGGACCTTACATCTTCAATATTTGATTGGTTGATAAACTAAATTAACGTGAGAAGATTGCTATTCTAATATACATGGTAGCCACTGACTTCAAAACATGTATAGTACTAGAAATACACAGAAGGAAGTAGGAACACCTCAAATTTTTTTCTGTTTCAATTATATTTTTATAATATCAGCATGATTAAAGTTTTAGAAAGCCTCCATCTTGTGCAACCCAAACTTCTCTTGAGAAAACATAACAAGCATTTTCAGTAAAATATACACATCGAGGTGCATGTTTTGTTAAATATAAATGATTTGCTTGTAGGGTTCGTCGATAAATGATTGTCTTTTATACTAATAAACAACTGTCTTCTTGTCCACAGTTTCTATAAATGCAGCTTTGACCCTGTGAATGGAGGAGAGATGGTTCAACAGGAATACATACGTTTCATAAAAAATGACAACCACCGGCCAATTCCTCCTACGTCATGAAGTTTCTTAGAAATCTCATACGCAATTGCAGTTCAACTAGATATATGGGAACGAGTTCTACATTCCACGGAGTTATTTTTCTGTAAATTCCATGATATTTATGTTTCATAATGAAGTCTGATGATCACCGATCCAAATCTCTGGCTGCACATAGTTTCAGGTAAAGCCTATATACAGCTGCAGTTCATTTGTATATATGAGAACAAGTTCAAGATTCTACTCAGTTTTCTCTGTGCATAATTTGTCTCTTTTGCTTTCTGTAAATCCATACTAGCTACTGGAATCACATCTCAAAATTCCTACTGTACAAACTTTTTGACCATGGCTCCAGATCATTTCACTTATGTTTTGTTATTGAAGGAACCCTTTCTATGTGTGGCTTTTCTTGTGTTCTTGATTACAGTCGAATTGATCTGCAGAAGGCAAGACGTTTATAGTTGAGATCTGTGTTTGCATTGCATACCTTTTTGTTTTGTTTCTTTCTTTCTCTTTTTGGCCTGCTTATAGTGATCACAGGCTCTTTTCTTTATCCCTTTGAATTGAATATTTTTTTAAAGAACGTGGAAAATTCTCCTAGGCCTTAACTAGGTGGTATACTTAATTTGGTTTTGACAGTTATGCTTTTTGACTCTGTTTCTAAAATTACCTAGTTAAGCATGAGGGAAAGTTTTCAACTTCGTTTAAAAAGAATATTGATGCGAAAGACCCCCAGATCCTCAACTCCATAGTTTTCCTAATTAAACTAGTGATATACTGATATGGTGATAGGTAATGATCCTTATTAAAACGTATAGTATACAAATCAGTTGATGTAACTTGAAACTATTGCAGTTGATAATTCAGGGGCCTATTTGCAACAATAGAAATACACAGGGCGCATCAGCAATTTGGTAATAGTTTAGACTACAAGAGGATCCGTCCGTAATTAATCCTTATTTTTTTTAACGAAACAGCAGGGCGCTGAAGTCTCACGGTTCTCTCTTTAGAAAAAGGATTGGTAGTTGCTAGCTGAAGGTTACTGCCAGGGCCGGTCCGGAGCATTTGGGAGCCCTAGGTAAAAGTTTGAACAAAAATCTTAAAGGGCCCCTCCTATATTCAAGATTTTTTTTTAAAATAAAATGTTACATCCAAGTAATTTTAGGGTTGCCTATATACCAAGGGATGCTATAACTAACCCCAAGGATCAAACACAATATAGTTCTCCTAAGCTACCTACCTTGTCCAAAGGCCTACAAATCACACCCTAACATTCTCATTCCCAAAACTAGATCAATGAACCAATAGAAGTATCACTTTATGAAGCATCTTCTTGCATTTTTAGATGCAAAATCATTAAGTAAACTTGTATAATCAAGCTTCTCCACTATATTTTTCTTAATTGACAATATAGCTAAGCCATTCAATCTTTCTTGTGACATAGTTGATCGAAGATCAGATTTGATTAATTTTAACTTTGAAAAACTTCTTTCTGCAGAGGCATCAGTAACAGGTATGGTCAACAATATTCTGTAAGCAATCCAAGCATTCAGAAAAGTACCATCCAATTTCTTCAAATAATTCAGCACGTCAATTACTTTTTTTATTTCTTTTGGTAAGTATTCTCTCAAAAATTTTAACTCTAAAAATAAATCTTCGCCATCAATATCAAAATGGCTGTCATGCTTTAAAAATCCTTCAAGTTTCGCACAATAAGCCTTCAAACTAGCATCATCAACAATGCTGAATTTCTTCAAATCAAATAAAAACCCGAAGACTTCTTCATAATGCCGAAATTGTTCAAACATACTCTTAAGAGAAGAAATAGCTTGATCCACTATATATGGAAAGTATTTAATTCTAAATGATTCTTCAGGAGATAACATTGTCTCTTCGGTAGCACTTTCATCAAATTGTCTCTTCCTGCGAATGATACGCTTTTCACGAAATACAGTTTCAATTTCCATTTCAGATGCAACCTTTTTAGCTTCAGTAATGGCCTCCTTAAATCCATTTTCTCTGTACTTTTCAAAAAATAATATAAGCTCATTCAATTGATCTATAGCAATATCAATTTGCATTGTCTTCCTTTTGCAAAAATTTGCTAACAGAATTAACAGCAAATAATAAATTGTGCCAAACAATCATACCCAATAAGAACTCAAAATTCTCCATTTCATTTCTTGCTAAGGACTCAGCTTCACTCTTTATTTTTGGATCTCCATCAATACTTGCCAAGTGAATTAAAGCATCTCTTATTTCTGTAGCTTGAAATCTTACCGCTCTTACACTTTCAACATGATTTTCCCACCGTGTTTTGTGACAATGGCTTAAGTGTGAGACCGGAAACATGTTCTTTGAAAATATCCCACTGTTGTGCCTGAAGCTGTGTCGAGGAACCAAACCAAACACCAATCCAAGAGAGCCAAATGAACCAAATATCAATGCACAAACAAAACACCAATTTTAACGTGGTTCGGCAAGTTGCCTACGTCCACGGGGCAAGGGGGATGGGGTTTTCACTAATAGAGAAAGAGTACAAACTGAGATTACAAATCACTCGAAGGAACAAACTAATCTCACCAACAAGCTCTTAATCTCTCCAAACAAAACCCTAAACAAATAGCTCAGAAAATACCTCTTTTCTGTGCTCCAAATAGCCCCCAATCAATGCTTAATCAAAGCCTAAACCAAGCCTAGGAAACCCTAAAAAACGTGTCTCTATTTATAGCAAAACACAATCCCAAACTGATTGGGATTCTAAAAACGAGTCTGCCACACCCTGCACCATGGGTGTGGCAGAGGGTGTGGTGCAGGACAGATTCTACCACACCCATGGCAGACACCACACCAGGGTGTGGTGGAGTCTGTTTTGGGTTATTCTTCACGTTTTTCACAATTCCTTCGCCGTTTTCACAATCGGCTCTTCCTCTCAGCCTACGTATCCTCTTGCCCAAGGAATCAAGCCTTCACGTAGTTCACCCAAACGGCCTCCAAAGGCCCTCAAACAAATAGAAAAGTCTGCAACTCTTCCCCAATATCGCCAACGGATCTGCAACTAATAGCGGCCCCAAACTAATACAAATTAAACACCTCCATCTGAGGTGAACCAATGGCCGTATCCAAATCATGTCCACCAGCTGCAACCGAATCCAAAACCAATCAATCATCTGCATCCGAAATCAAATGATCCCCAACCTGTGTCACCTCAGCTGGAATCCCAAATGACGCAGTATGATCTGGAGTATGTGGAATAAGTTCCACCCAACGTGAAGTAGCATCACCCTCCACCTGCTGCGATATCCAAACAGAACAAAATCAGAAGCTCCCAAACGATAATCAACTGAGCCTCCGAACCCCAAACGCGCAATCGGATCAAATCTCACATCCTCGATGTGACCAAATGCTGTGTATCCAAATATCCGACGCAACCTAAAATCTGAAGCAGCTCCACCAGATCCAATAACTCCTAATGCAGCAGTCGGTGATCTGTGACTAAGATGACCCAAATATGTCGAAGCTCCAGAACCAATGCTCGACAACCAACGCCGATCCCCCTCCAGAAAGGAACGACCCATCGAAACTGTCATCTCATCTCGTCGCCCCAAAGTTTCCACACCAATGAAGTGTCTCCTATTGCCGTGAGCTCGGCACAAACACAAGAAAGGACTCTTATCAAATCTAGAACAACGAGTTACCTTTCTGCCAATACACTTCTTCCAATTGTTATTGACTTCTAGGACTTTACACCAACGGGAACTGGTCGCGACCCAATAATGCCTAGAACAATCTTCAACTGCGGAAACTAAGATACGATTACCTCCCAATGATGCCTCCTTGGAAGGCCCCCAAATGCCTAACTGAACACCTCCTAAAAGACCCCTCGCTCGATGGATAGGAATGCCAAACTCCACCATGGTCTTGTTCATCCCAATATGCTCACAGGACTTCAATCTGCAGGTCATAGCACTCCTCAACAACCAATGCACGGCATTACCAATCATATACCCCAGCACCAAACAATGCCACAGTCTAGCCGAATCTGATGAAGTCGTCATCTCCCTATCAATCACCGTGCTCCTAAGTAAATAGTACAAATTACTCCTTCTGACGCCCTTCATCACAATCATGGACCCAAATGTAACCTTCAAGCGTGCATCCGCCAAGGTCACCCTATAGCCTGCTGCCTCCAAAACTCCAAGTGAAATGATGTTCTTCTTCAACTGAGGAACGATCCTCACTCCAACCAACTTCCGAATCACCCCGTCACTCATCCTGATCCGAACGGTACCGATACCACCAATAGAGTATTTGTGATCATTCCCCATGAGCACGAAATCCCCTCTTTCCAACTCCTGAAAGCTGGAGAACCAATCCCTCCTAGGGCAAATGTGGTATGTAGCCCCCGAATCCAACATCCACTCTGTAGAGTAGACAACACAAACTGACGGCAGTGCAGATAATGAGTAGCCCGAAGAATTCGAATCTGAATCGTTGCCACTAGTCTTGACAACATTCGCCTCTGAAGCTTGAATAGCTTTTCCTTTATTCTTCTCGGCTCGATCAACTAACTTTGGGCATTCGGCTTTCCAATGTCCATCCTCTTTGCAAAAGGCACACTGATTCTTACGAACTCCAAGATGTGCCCCTCTAGACTGCGACCTCCCACTACGGTTTGGACCCTTTGCTCTTGCGACCAACGCCCCCGCTACCGGCTCAAACGAAGTCTCCTTATCCTTCTTTCGAAGCTGATAATTCACAAGTGCAGCGGTGACCTCACTATACGAAAGAGATGCCTTCCCATTAATAAGAGTAAGAACGAAGGTCTCATATTCCTCGTCAGGCAAGGAACTCAATAGCAACAACGCCTTGTCCTCATCTTCAATCTTAACATCCACATTCGCCAAATCCGCAAGAAGCTTCGTGTAGTGGTTCATGTGATCACCAATGGAGGTTCCTTTCTTCAACTGGAAGCGGTAAAGCCTCCTCTTCAAATGCAAGCGATTCTCCACACTCTTGGTCAAATACTTGCTCTCAAGGATCTCCCAAATCTTCTTTGCAGAAGTCTCATTGATCACATCATACTTTAGATCTTGAGTGAGACAAGACCTAATCACACCACACGCCGTTCGATTCATCTTTTTCCAAACCTTCTCATCAATGTTGTCCGGTTTCCCGTCCAACTCCAACGTATCTTCCAAATTTTGCGCGTTGAGCGCATCCATGACTTCGCATCGCCAAAGTCCAAAATTGTTTGTGCCATTGAACTTTTCCACATCAATCTTCATTGAGTGGATATTCAAGCTTTGGACGGTCTTCACGCCGGAAGTACTGCCCACAACTCCTTCTTTCTCGGCCATAATCCTCAAGGCACCACCAAACCAATGCGGAAACAAACGAGAAATAGATCCAAACTGAAAAAGATGAGATTTTTACTAAAAAGATCCCACCTTTATCACCAAACGAAGCCCTAGATGAACTTCCAAAGCGATCTACTCCTCCAAATAGTCCAAGCGTGGCCCGAGCTCTGATACCACTTGTTGTGCCTGAAGCTGTGTCGAGGAACCAAACCAAACACCAATCCAAGAGAGCCAAATGAACCAAATATCAATGCACAAACAAAACACCAATTTTAACGTGGTTCGGCAAGTTGCCTACGTCCACGGGGCAAGGGGGATGGGGTTTTCACTAATAGAAAAAGAGTACAAACTGAGATTACAAATCACTCGAAGGAACAAACTAATCTCACCAACAAAACTCTTAATCTCTCCAAATAAAATCCTAAACGAATAGCTCAAAAATACCTCTTTTTGTGCTCCAAATAGCCCCCAATCAATGCTTAATCAAAGCCTAAACCAAGCCTAGGAAACCCTAAAAAACATGTCTCTATTTATAGCAAAACACAATCCCAAACTGATTGGGATTCTAAAAACGAGTCTGCCACACCCTGCACCATGGGTGTGGCAGAGGGGGTGGGGGAGGACAGATTCTACCACACCCATGGCAGACACCCCTGCACCGTGGGTGTGGCAGATGGTGTGGTGCAGGACAGATTCTACCACACCCATGGCAGACACCACACCAGGGTGTGGTGGAGTCTGTTTTGGGTTATTCTTCACGTTTTTCACAATTCCTTCGCCGTTTTCACACCCACCGCTTAGTAGAAGATGATAACAAAGTATATAAACGTTGTATCACTCCAAAAAAAGATATAGCTTTCGGACAAGAGTTTGCCATATCGCAAAGTACGAGGTTAAGACTATGGCAACCACATGGAGTGTAGACTGCTCTAGGATTTACTTCGAGGAGTTTTTTCTGCACACCTTTATTTTTTTCTTTCATATTAGATCCATTGTCATACCCTTGTCCTCTTACATTAGAAATGCCAAGTTTTAGAATCTTCAATACATCTTCAAGTTCGCTAAAAAGTCCCAGTACTGACGTGTCGTCGACCTTAAGAAATTTTAGAAAGAACTCTTCTACCTTTACTGGACTTTATGAAACATCCACACATCTTATTATAAGAGTCATTTGTTCTTCATGGCTTATATCTGGAGTACAATCTTGTTGGAAGCTTTGTTCATGAAAATGCAAATTTGCCTTTGTGAATAGTCCCACATCGGAAAATGAGATGAATAGTAAAGGGTATATAATGGTTCTCTCCTTATTGGGCTTTGAATAGTGTTTTGGGTTTTGTGGGCTTTGCGGTTCTACCACACACGCGCGCGCGCGCGCACGCACGCCACGCCGCGCCTCGCCCGCACGCCACGCCGCGCCCGCACGCCGCAGCCGCACACCTTTTGCTTCTCAAGCCTTCATTTTTGCACGTTTTACACATTTTGTAACGGCTGCATGCGGGTAACGGAAGCATTAACCGTGCGTAACGGTTCCTTGGATTCAGCGGGGGTTACACCTTTCATCACCTATAAAAGGAGGCTTGGAGCTCATTCAGAAACACACCAACGAAGAGTAAATCTTCTAAACTCTCTTCTCTTCTCTACTCTCATACCTCCAATAGATTTCGGCTACATTTTTATATATCTATTTTCTGGGCAACCATTTTTGTCTGAGCATAAGCTCT